CTGTCGAATTTGCGCTGAAATTATTAAAAAAATATAGAGAGACAAATATGTTCGAAGTGGTTTCACTCGCCAAGGTACTTCCATATATAGGAGGAACACTATCTAATTGACCCCCTGTTATTTCAACTATAAGAATAAAATGGTCATCTTTGTTGCACGAGAAACAGTGAACGCGGATAGCAAACTCGCTCAAATTTAGCACACTGCACATGTAAAAGATGCCGTCCATAGTGAAACATCCTGCGAACGTCAAACCCACATGGTTCATTTATCGGGTACAACGAAGGAAAATGCCTCCAAAAGTGTACCTGACCAATCAAAGAATGCAGTTGCCAGACTCTTTCGTAAATATAAAAGTGTGATATCCCGACTGATGAAACAATATTGGGAAACGGGTGAGGTTAAGATTTAGAGGAAGGCCTAGCACAGCCCCAAGGGGGAGATGGTTATTCAAGTCTGTTCCAGAAGTTAGGGACAACAATTTTAGGGTTGCCAGAGGAATCCGACTTTCGACATCAAAGATACGAAATAGGTTGAAAACTGGGGGTTTGAAATCTAGACGTTCTTCCAATGCGGATGAATGCGTCTGACTGCAGCGTCTCAGACAACAGTGGGCACAGCAGTTTGGTCGTCAACAGCGGCATTGGAGATACTTCGTGTTTTTCGATAAATCAAAGTTCTGCTTACGGTTATCAGATGGTAGTCAAATTGTTTCGAGACGGCTTGCAGATGGTGCTATCCGGAAGCAATCCAAGAGCGCGATATGTACGGTGGCGGCAGCATCATGGTCTGGACTGCCATCCAATATGACAGCAGTACGGGTCGGATGGTCATGCAAGGGAACATGACCAGTCAACGTTTTATGGACCAGATGTTACGTCATGTGACCATCACATTTGTGCTGCGCGAAGGTCAGAACTTTGAATTCAAGGATGACAACGCACGTCCAGCGATTGTGTTCCCTGACGACTGTCTGAAAAAGCAAGGCTGGGCAGCCAAATCTCCAGATGTGTCACTGATTAAACACCTTTGGGATGTTCTGGGACGAAGGGTTCGCAAACGACTTCAGACTTCCCAGAATTTGCAACAGAAAGGGCACACCTTACAAGAAGAATGGCCAAGGATACCGCGCTTTATATCCAATATTCCCAAAAGAACTCTTGCCTGCATCAATGCTCACGGGTCATGGACCAGATATTGACTTTACAATGAAGATTGAATCCCACAAAGTCATTTCTTTACACATCATTTCTCAATACTTTTGTGTTTTTCCTTAAATAAATTTTTCTAGTATATTTGAGTGACAACTTCATTGTTCTTTAACTCGAACTACTGAACGCCTTTTGCAGTGACAAAGATTGAGTGCTATTTTTAGACGACCCCTGCTAAACGTTTCAGGTGGCCGTGATGTGCAGTGTTACTTGATATTGTGTAGTAACATACGGTGTATGTCTGTATTATTGTAACAGCGACAAGCGTCAGAAATACGGATCATCACTGACCCGTGAAGATCCGGGTTAGAATACGTCTTCAGCAACCCATGCTTGCCGCAAAAGGCGACTATGCTTGTCGTAAGTGGCGACTAACGGGATGGGGTGGTCAGGCTCGCAGCCTTGGTTGATGCATGCCATCATTGCATGGATCGATGCTCATGATATCAAGCAAAGGATTTACAGACCACCGTCATAGAGCTGTGATATTGCTGAGCGCGGCGTTAATCAACAAACAAACAAAACAAACAACGTATCTTTACAGTGGTAATCTGTCATGTTTTTGTCAGTCAGGGATGTAATTTCAAATTTATTCATTATCAGATCGATCAGGTCGTCTGCTATGGTTATCATCTCTGTAAAGCCATTCAAAATCAGAACAGCGATATGGCTAGAAATCGCGTTTTCATCACAAGGGACACAACTCTGGGTGGTGCCACGATCGAGCCAAGAAAAGTAGGCTCGTAATGGCAAGGGTAGAAACTAGGCTTTGATATCGGCTAATGGATACCCTTGCCTCGGGAAGACGGGACATGGTGCAATCAAACCTATAAAGACAATTTGGGCGAATCGGATTGGAACCCACGGCCATAGGTTTCTGGAGGCGCCTCAGATGACTTGGCCACCCATGCCCCCCTCCCGCGGATGATTAGGGAAAACAGAACACCGATTATGAAAAACATCAATACTTTATTCTTCATAAGTTGATTTCTTTGTCAATAAAACTATCACAGACACAATGTCTAAAACAATGAAAGTAGGATGTCACAGCGAGACAAGGGAAAGGAAATAGTCATCCAAATAAATAATAATTATGCATGTCATTTTCATAATTAAACAATGAAACTTAACACGCCAGGCCTAAAACCAGAAATTGTGACATGAAAAATCACAATGCACATATCGTTACGAATATCGATAAATTTATGTTTTGCCATCACATAACGATAAACAAATTGGCATCATTTGGATGTTTGGATTTCACATAAAACTTTGTTCATTTCAATCATGTTTCATATTTTCAACATATGAACTGAAGCTTTCACTTCATTCAACAAAAATGATTGGGACATATATCTTAACATTGAAGTTTAAGAACCAACTGAATCATTCAACTCCTGATGACATCGTGAATGAAACATCACAGCTATATGTACAGCGATATTAATTCACCGCCCTGGCATGGTAGAAAGATACAGGAGCGATTGATGCCATCACAATCACACTGACCGCCTCCGTGGTGCAGTGTACAGAGCTTCTGTCCGAGAGAGTGGTCGGTGTTTCGATCCCCGGCCACGTCACACCAAAAGACGGTAAAAGATTGTTCTTGTTGTTACTCGTCCTAGTGCTGGGCATTAAGGGGCTAAAACAAAGACCGGTCGGCTCGGAATGCAATACGGATCCGTTGACAATTCCTTAACCGTCGCTTGCACTGTAGCTCAGAGTATTTCATCCGATTACATCAAGAGTTAAACACTCAATTAGGGCTGTGCTGTCTCTATCATCAGCCCGAATTGAGTATGTATATCAGCGGTTCTTGTCCGTTCCATATCTATGATGTCGTCAGAAGGTATTATACATAATTTAGCACTAAAATGCTACTTTCAATTAATTAACATGTGTAACATTTGTTAATAAACTTTAGGACACACATATAACAGGGGAATAATAACACTTGAATCAACAAACACATATACGTTAGTGTGGTATATCTACACACGGCAACAAAAACAGATTAAAAAACACTTTTTTACATTTTCATTCGGTATTATGTTCATGTCCTCTTCAAATCATCTTCCCGAGTCAAGAGAGTTAACTAAAAGTCCAGTTTCCACCCTTGCCGAACTAGGCTGGAATTACTGGGCTCGATCGTAGCGCCACCAGTGGATATTACCAGTTATGTCCCTTCTAAGTCTCTTCTATGGACCAATCAGATTCCACCTCTCGTATTACTTGGGTTTGCTTCACACAAAATGGTGGCGCCCGGTCAGGACGATCTGATCGATAATCAAGATCAAAATAAAACGGATCTTACATCGCGAAATGCATCAAAATACGTGAACACCTTGATTTAAAAACATGAAAAGATTTGGAACTGCTGACTACGAGTTGGCGGTGCACATGTTTTGCAAATCCTACAATCGATCGACATCTGCACGACAGTTTACAAACCGGATTTCGATTTTGTTGCGCGATTTTGATTGGACTACGCACATACCTGTTAGTACAGCCAAAATGTAACTCCATAATACCAGTTTAGTTCGGCAAGGGTGGAAACTGGACTTTTATAGTCAGTTAACTCTCTTGCCTCGGGAAGATGTCTTCAAATAGGTTCACACTGTTAAGCGCGTGAGGAGAGTATGTAAGCCCTGAATATCGGCTTCTTGTCTCTACTCCACAAAATAATCTCAGTGTTTATGACCCTACATTAAAATAACTAGTTCAAGCAGCAATAGCAATAAATGAATATCTTCTGACGATTGTAAGAACATTGTTAAAGACATAACAAATCGCAGACATAAGACCAAGTGCATTTCCATATTCACAAGAAATTCCTGCAGTCCATTGTAGATTCCGACTTTAGCATAAGCATGTGTTTATGAATCACTATGAAATAGTAATGGGACCAGGTGTTCGCAAAAAGGTGAACATATCCTGCCACACCAGTGACACCTGTCACAAATGCATGCAAGGGCAAGTCAAGTGTTCATCTAAAGAAACCACGGAAACATATGGTCAACATAGGGATGTATCGGACATCATTTTGGTCACTGATGCGTCAAATTTGGAAATGTGCTTTAACGACAAGGATAATGACAGCTCTTAAACTAAGATCCTCTTGTGGAACGCATGCCGTGAACCTTCTTAAAGAACATAAACAGTCGCAGTTATAGAACTGAGATCTGTATGTGGGGCTAGGGCCCGGGTCTTGGTTACAAACAGAAATAATGGCAACTGTAAAATCTTGTGGAAAAGACACATAAGTACGCCTGCACTAGGCAATTAGCAGGACGGCCTCAGCGCTTCCAATGCCCACCCTGGGGTCCGTTCCTCAAAGCCATCGCAGCGCTAAGGTTATCATAACATCTATACTTTAACATAGACTTACGACTGTCGTTGCGCTACGACCGCTTTGTGGAACGGGGCTCCAACACTCACTGTGGCGAGTCGCAGTACTAGGACAGATCTAACGAGCGTCACCTATGGGGTGACTGCATGCGATTGTGCAGGTAGGTGCCTTAACCAACACTCGTGGTATAACTAACCGGAATTAGATCATTATACTTACAAATACTATTATATACAGGGTACAGACACTAAAGAACTGCAGCCGCATCACCGTGTGGATTCCATACTATTCATTTGGTCATTCTTATTTTTATTAAATATCGTCGGAGGCCGTGGTATCTTGATATAATTTTTGACATATTGCGATAATAATTTGTAATTGTATTTTAAAATTTATAAGAAAGTTCTGCAGAGATAGAGTAAAACAAGTATTCACGATATCGTTTGGACACTTCTGTGGGACAATATTTGTCTTGATGTTTATGCCAATCGTCTTTTTCGGGCAAACGAAATTCTAGAAAGAATATCAAACACAAACTATCTACCTGACTAAAACGCTGGTTTGAAGCCGATGGCACGTGGATAACATTGTAAAAGTTTTGATATCACCACAACTCACAATTTATGCTTGATAAAGTTCGAAACAGCCTAACAAATACAGATTTGTGCGATTTGTGTTTTTTTTCTCGTTTGTCCAGCAGTTAAAATATGGACACCCGTAAGCTTAACGACACATGGACTAAATTTTGATAATATTGTGACAGCAAGCAATTCCTATAAATGGTAGCCTTTCATGTGTACTGTTATTGTGTAATTAGACTTAGAGTACATTATCCATATATCTATACTTTGCTTAATGCAGCATTTAACATTTATACTCTCAAACAGATCAAGTCTTTCCAAAAACTGTGAAAGTAAAAAATCTATTCTTATAATGATTATGTCGCGATTTTTAGGTGAAGTTAAAAATGAGAAAAAAAGGAATTAGGTTAAATGATAAAACGCGGTGTAAAATGATTAAAAATATTTTTAATGAACTAAACTCAATTTTACTCCCCTCATAGTAGGTTTTAATATTTTAATCATGTACATAATGAAGTTTGGATATGGCTACCGAACTTTAACATCACGTAAGTTCGCAATGTCCGAGTTTAATTGGGGCAATACGGCATCTGGTTCAGAATTTGATAACCCTGTCATTTTAACAGAATGAAATCCCCACGGTTGCGCCTACTTTGCATCCTCGATCTTCCAGGGTATTATATTCCCATTCTTAAATATTATATACCATAGACCCATTCGAACTCAAAGCGGCTATTTTGGCATAATGTCATTTGAACCGGGCTTGAAACGGAGCTATGGTTGCGAATGAGTCCAAGGTATGAATACTAACTGAATTGAAATATAATACATTGGAGGAGCAAGCATACCTACTTTGTAGATATAATTAAAACACGATGGCAAACAGTGATTTTAGCTGCTTCGGGGGCCTCAATACAGCACGAGCGATATCTACATGAAATCCACACCGTTCTTATGCTTGATTGACAAGTGACACACAGAGGACATAAGCGACAACCTAGAAATGGATTTTACTGTTAGAGCAAGCAGTTTCATTATAAAGCATTATCTACCTGATAGGAAATCACATCAAGTTATATACAATGTTTTTAAAAATAAATAATCATTGTGCATGAAGCAAAATAAATACGGTTGCATAATTATGTACAGCTTCAATATTCAATATTTTCCAAATATCATTTAAACATATAACACATATCAATCGTGATGTTTTGTGAAATATACGTGTACATATTTATTGTCATTTTCTAAAGTATACATGTGAAGAAGATTCATAAACAAAAGAATATGACGAAACATTTTATTGGAATATGCACGCTAAATATATACGAGTACATTCAAGAATTAAACATGAACTATCATATAATTAAACAAGACTTTGAGACGTCATGACACATCATAATAAGCAGTAGCATTTAGGCTATCACATATGCATTTGAGCCGTCAACCAAAACATCGGTTCGAGTTGATATTCCTCATCATTTAACACGGGAGTATGAACTAATACTCCCTGATTGGAAAAAAATACTCGCCATGTGGTTTAATTATTATAAAATAATAATTCAAAATGTGGTTTTGAAAGAAATTTGTTCGAAATGGGATCAATATACATTGATATATATACATTTTAACTAACACAACGGCAAGACATCGATTTGTATATAATATCGATCACAGCGATTTCAAGCAAACGTTATAGGCACGCGTATAAGTACCGTGAAATCTACATGGTAAATGACCCGTTAGTCAGTTGTACATAACATAGTGATAGTGAAATAGACACGAACAGTTGTAAATATCAATCACTAAGGGAGACGTCAAAGCATGGATTTTAAATACCATCTTTGTAAAATGATATGTTTAGATATGAGACGTGTGTGGTGTTATTAACAATAAATAGCAGTAATAGATCCAGATTTGAAATAAACATGAAAATATCTATGTACATACATGTTCATGTCTCGGTTGTCTGAGACAGGAGTGACGCTATTCTGAAATGTACACGTGGTCTATGCACTAATATATGCACATGAAGCTGAAAGACACTTGACAGACTGTGTGGATTGGAGCAAATGACGTCATCGCTGATATGGCAAAGATCTGTGGAAGCATCATATCTGGAAAAAAGGAAATATAATTAAAATACTTGTTTGAATTTATGCTGAAGTAATGACTGTCTTGTTTAATTGAGGTTCGCCCTAATTACGTTTCTAGGTCTGTCAGTACCATATTCGTGCTCGTGGGTTTCACCAAAGTGGTAAACGTCTGAGACCTGCATCACTTTTGCCACACACCGTGATATAACTGGTTTGGTGTATACTATTAAAACATGCCGTTAAACTCACACTCACTCTTATATACGGCAACGTTAACTAGGTCAACTGATAATCTTTCAATGTGATACACGGGGTCAAAGTGAACCGTCACCGCTCGTATCTTTCCGTAACCTACGAGAAGGCTTGTACCGGAATGACACGAGTTGGTTACGCCACCAAAGTGTCATTCACTGTGAAAGAGCTTGGATGCGAAATAGCAAAAGGGAGGTAACTGCTTCTCGTTTAATTTATACGTACGCGATAACGTTTCAGCTAACACGCATTGAACTCTGATCTAAAAACGATTTTTTTCAGTGTCAATGTTTTATACCATATGTTCTCAATACAAAATTTACAAATAAGTCACAGTTAAGGAAATAATCTTTGTACATTGAGTTTACATTTAACATAGCATCAGCAATATTTCTGCGTTGTTGATAAAGACGTGTTGAGGGACGACATCTGTGATGTACATGTAGCATTTTTGTTTTTGTTTAGTTGAGTTGACCGCCAGCTTGAAGTGTTTCGGTAATATCATGTCGGCTTAATGTTGAATAAAGGTCAACGAGAACCACGTTGTAGACGCTGACCGCTTTGATCATGGCCGCGATATGGCATACCAGGGATCATAAAAGCAACGAAACTTAGATCAGCGGATCCTGTCTGCTAAATAAAATGCGAAAAACCCTTTCCAAAAGGCATCTGTATAAGAGTCCACTGTATAATTCCGACTGTATCACAAGCATGAGTTTATGAATCACTATCAGGTAGTGGTAATACCAGGTGTCCGGGAAATCATGAGCCTTTCCTGCCCAACCGGTGGTACCCGTCACAAACACATGCAACGACAAGTCAAGTGTTCACCTGACAACAACGCGGAAACATATGGTACAGGATAAAATAAGAAATTGCTGCTTTGCAACAGACATAATTTTGTCACTGATGCATCACATTCGGAAATGTCTCCCACGTGTCTACCATATATAACCGCATGATTTGTTCCAGCTATATGACGGCGGTCTGTAAATAATCGGGTCTGGACCAGACAATCCAGTGATTGACATCATGAGCATCGATCCACGCAATTGGGATCGATGACATGCATCAACCAAGTCAGCGAGCCTGACCACCCGATCCCGTTAGTCGCCTTTTACGACAAGCATAGTCGCCTTTAACGGCAAGCATGGGTTGCTGAAGACCTATTCTACCCCGGAATCTTCACAGGTCTACAATCGTATGAAAGATAATATCTGAAGCTTGTTGAAAGCAGGAGCGCTAAACGCCATTTTCAACTGTGAGCCCCAGGTCATTGCTCCAGCGTTCCTCCTAAGCACAAGATAAATGTAAACAGCTGGCAGTACTTACCATCAAATGGTTACACCTGATTGGATCCACAATTTAAACGTCTATTTCAAAGCGTGTAGGCACCACCAAAATAGTCAACATGGATACAGTTCTTCCTTCGGTCTCTTTCACTAGGCACACACTGTCAATCATTCGGTGAACAGGAGAAGTAATGGAATGGTGAAACGTCGTCGCAGCACTTCGATGAAACCAGTCACACTTCAGAGACAGAGCGCCAACTACTTAAAAAATTATCTTCTCTTGCGAACATGAAATACAATCATCAAAGTTGAAATATGTGAAAGTTTCGCAGTAGGATGTAACTCTCACAGTACAAACTCCACCAAACACACTGTGGCAAATTTGTGTCCACAATCAGCACTACGGCACTGAACCATTTCATTTCAATTTACATTTATCTATTACAGATATACATATGCACAACTTGCAGCACGAACACTCGTAGATTGCTTGTCAGCTGATATGACGTATTGATGATGTCACGAATGACGTCATGATGCAATGGCTCTCAGAGGACTGGTGTTGTCAGCCGACTCACGTTCTCCTTGTAGCCAATATGTCGTCATTTTACCTTTGCCCTGTAAACAAAGAAAAGTTAAAAGATTGAGTGAGTGAGTTGGGTTTTAACGACGCTTTTAACAGTATTCCAGTTATACCACGGCGTGTCAGCTTAATGTTGGAGGAAAGCCCGAAATGATGCAGGTCTCAGACGTTTACCACTTTGGTGAAACCAACAAGCATGGGTATGGTGCTGACGAACCTAGAAACATAATCGGGGCGAACCGGGATTCGAACCCAACATCATAGGTTTCTGGCGTAACTGTGCACAGCGAATTGCGGCCCCCAAAAGTGAAATGAGAAGCGGAAGAGCAACGTTACAATACCCATGATGCGTTAATACAGAACCCACTGAAAATCCGAGTTAGAATTGGTCTTCGGCAACCCAGATTTCTCGTAAGAGGCGACTTAAGGGATCGGGTGATTGGCTTGCTGACTTGGTTGATGCATGTCATCGTATCGAAGATCGATGCTCCTGATATCAATCACGGGATTGTCTGGCCCAGAGTCGGATGTTTTTAGAGGCCGCCGTCACATAGCTTGAATATTGCCGAGTGGGCGTTACATAACAAACAAAAAACGTAAAATATCAATGTGTTAATAGGGACCATTTCACAAGGTATGGTAATCTTGAGTGACAAGGTTCCTTCGTAGAAAGTATTTTGCGTATGCAAACCTTTGAAATTCTTCGCCTTGAAGATGATTTTCAGATTATGGAGCAGCACTCCATGCTTACGTAAATAAATGAGTGTGAAAGTGAATCTTCGAATGAGTCAGTGAATAAGTAAGCTTTGTCACACGACATCGAGTCCAGAACACGCAAACCAGTGACTGATAGCAGGAGCAAGGTTCCATGGCTTAGCCGCATGATGGCATGACCACACGAACCCCATTTCAGTCAGCGCTAACACCAAGCATGGGAATCAACACATCCTGTGACTTTAAACCTTAAACACTTGTTTGTTCAAGCAGATCAGCTTCTGACATTCTACAACTAACACGTCCCATTTTAATTCTTGAAATCCATTTGTTCAGAATCTCTCCATGCTGTGGTTAGTCCCGGTCAAAGGTATTTACAATATTCAACACGCTGTTTTCATGGGAACATACTAAGGAAGACTAAATTGAAACTATATATACTATTTTATACATGTATTACCTTCATCTCGACTGCACCTCGACATTCTAATTCAAAGGTCTTGAACTCATCAAGCACTTGTTTTGTGTAATCACTAACGTGTATTCTCAGAGCTGAAAACAACAGGGAAGAGGGCTTTTGTTATAAATACAAAACCATACATGTTAATATATCAGAACAATGATCACATTTTTTTTTCAAAAGATAAACAAAAACATGTTCGTATTTCGTTTTCAAAGAGTAACCTCCTAATCATATTCAACGTGTAAGAAAATGTGTTTGTTTATGTTCAGTGCCTGAGGCTTTCACAGTCAGTTATATACATTATTCGCAGTATTATATTACTGTTATTATTGATATTTTGTATTACTTACGAAGTCCATTCGACTCCATCCTAGAAGAGGTGTTGACAGTATCCCCGAATAGACAGTACCGGGGCATCTTCAGACCGACCACACCCGCACACACGGAACCTGGATAAGTGAAGAGTGAGTGAGTGAGTGAGTTTGGTTTTAGCCGATTTGAATAGTTTATAACACGGCGTGTCAGCTTTATGAGGGAAAACAGTACGGGATGATACTTGTACAATTTGATCATGATGTGCTCGAAACGGGCTCCGAACCCAGGACCTGCGGATCCCAGCATAGCTAGGGCTTAGACTATTGGCCTAGAACATAGAGAGAGTAGTTATACAGTAGACCGTGAACCAGTTTAGATACTGGGCCACTTGTTTTTCCAAAGGGAGCGAGTGTTGTTTTACGGCTACCCTGGCGTGTTGGGGACCGGAGTCCTCACAAAGAGGCGGGGTTAGGTGAAATGGGTTTTAACGTCGCGTCAAGATTATTTCACATCTATGTGCAAGCACGTGTGTGTCTGCTGGTACTAGCCAGGACTAATGCCGTCTTTATAGTGCTAGCTCACTGTAATACCATGCCGCTGTATAACAAGGATACCCACCACAGAAACAGCACACTGACAAGTCTGATGTAGTTTCATTTCATATCATAACATAAATGGATGCATAAATGTATGACAAGGTTTGTGAGAAATTTGATATATAGTTAAAGTATCCGATATGGCTGTCAATATTTATCGTAAACCACGTACTACATGTATTTCAACCCAAGTAGCATCAAATGTTCCGGTGGCGTGTTACGTGAATGGCAATATAATACGGGTATTGGAGTTGACTGTATGTGGGAAATGTCCCAATAAGTGTAACACTAGCTGCTTCTAATGATAAAATACTGATACAAAGAAACCTCGATAATTCTTCAGGTACCTGAATGTATTCCAATCCTGAGTTTCAGCTGGTCATTCGGTCTGTGGCGGATCTTGAAGCACATCACAGCGTTGAGGAGAGCCAGCGACATCCGGGCAATCTCTCTAGCGTGGAAGTTTCCGTTCCGAACCGGAAGTCCAGACACCACCATGTACGCATCTCCGATTGTCTCCACCTGATGGCATGACGTGGGTTGTGAGAGGGATGTGGTGATTGTCAAATTAATCACTCTGTGCATGAATACTGCACAGGCGGCTTCGGGTATCACGAAGTTTATGTCGGCTGTGACAAACCTAATTTTATTTCCGTAACAGTGGTTACAAACGTTATTGTTCAAATGAAAAGACAACAACCCTATGAGACATGTTTCTTAGGGTTACTGATATCCGGTGTTGGCTGTATGTGGACAAATGTTCGCATACATACTGATTCAAGGATACCTCGTCACTCCTTAAGTTTGTCTAGCAACCCCTCTCCAGGACAGTTTCTTTTCGGAGGGCCAGTACTTTCTGGTATATTTACAAAGGGAGACAACTCCATCTTCATGATTCATTGAAAAACTTATGGTCATAAAGAAATAAAATCAGATTGTCACTCCTCCTCACTGGCAAACGTTACTTGATGAAATACATCATTTACGTGGTCCAGCCAAACATTCATGCTGTACGCGAATTCGTCAACATTTGATGTACATGTTATATATCGTGAACATTCTGTTTGGATAAAAATATGAGTAATATACAAAATGCCTCGTATCTCCCGTTTTGGAGGAAAAATGTTGTGTATGGTTTTTGTTTAATGTTTAACGCCGCACTCAGCAATATTCCAGCTATATGTATGTGGCCTGTAAATAATCGAATCTGGACCAGACAATCCAGTGATTGACATCATCATCATCATCGATCTACGAAATTGGGATACAGTGACATGCATCAACATGACAATCCGATCCCGTTAGTCGCCTCTTACAACAAGCAAAGTTGCCTGTTACGGCAAGCATGGGTTGCTGAAGACCTATCCTACCCCGGATGTTCAGGGGTGGGGAAAAATGTAATAATTCATTGTCACAATGTTTATTAATGATTGGAAAAATGAGATTTCGTTATTACATAAACAGATGCTGTTTAAAGCAAACCGAAGTCTGATATGCATGACGTCCATTAAATACATCATGAATTACATAACATTATGTCACTTCAATCATACCTTGTAGACATCAAAGTTCTCAATGATGGAATCGAAGGTCGTGTAGAGATCATTCAACAGATCGATCACCTGCAGAGATCAATCATACAGTGTCAGTTTCATATGAAACTATACTGTGAATGAAAATGATACACCCAGACAGCTCAGATACATGGTTCTTAATGGTGGTGACAAAACGAAGACGCATTAGCATAGATAATAGACTAAACAATGTGAATGCTATGGTCAAATAAAGTCTTTATGTTCAACCGTAAACAAAATACCGATGGAAGTAAATATCTATTTCCGAGAAACACAATGATTTGCTAAACTAAGTCGTTCCCTCATTTCATTCCAACAGCATATGAGAAACAAGTAAAATTAATGAGAGTTATCCTTCCCTTATAACCTTAAAACAAGAACCGTAACATGACGTACGTAACGTAACTAAACTGTCATCAAAATGTCTCATTGACATGTGGCAATACCCAAAGATGAAACATGCCGAAACCCCAAAACAAAATAAAGTGAAAATAATACCAGTTATCTTAGTGTCCTGTCTCACAACCTGATAAACGAAACAACACAACCCTAAGTGCAAAGACATCCATTTGCAATGACTGGTAGTCAGTCCCATTCAACGAATTCAACAAGAAGGGCATTTAGAGCCTCTCGAGCCAAACGAACAGTTTCTGCCCCCGATGTTTCATTGTCTCGTCGAGCACTGACCTGCATGGGAGTGCTGTCTGCAGACAGTGCAGTGAAGCCGCATATGTCGGAAAAGTAGATCGTGACAGATTCGAAGTTCTCAGCCGCGACAGACCTGCCACGTATAAGTTGTGTAGCAACTTCCCTGGAACCAAGAGATGAGTTTCACTGATTGCCGTCTCCACAACTCCATCAATACACAGAAGATCGAATTATGTGTTGCAATTGTGTCAATTTTGGTGGGACAATTGATCCAAGTTATGTAAGAGTCACCGTTAAACACAGTCAATTTGGTTGTAGATTCAGTGAATATTACATGTTAACTGCGGGGCAAAAGAAAGTATACACTTAAAATTAGATTTGACCAAAACATTACAAATGTTATTAAAACGTAACTAGGCTGAAAACAGTCGCCAAACACTGCAAACTTAAGGTCAAAATCCAACAAAGATACTCGTATCAAATAAACACCATCGCATAATATAACAATTTCTTGTTTGCTTCATATTAGCCAGCATCAAACATTGTCTTTACTTTTCTTTTGCCCGGCAGTTTAATATTCAGATATTAAAACATCTAAAAAAGGCTTATTTCAGTTTGACACAATATAATTCACAATAACACACTGTATGTAAATTGGGCTCGAACGTCGTCTGAGTTTGAAATATAAACGGTGTGTCAGCTTGATGTGGGAGACAGACACCTCTCACACAGTATGTATGATCTACAGCCTCGGAGATCATACATACAAGGAGTCGATGGGTTGACGATCATAATCGGGGCGAATATAAAATCCAAACTCACGACCAGCGGATCCTGGCACATCGAAGGGACGCAAGGCTTCACAACAAACTGCGGCGACCATTGCAGCATATAGCTAAAGTGTGCACCGTTGAACTAACAGATTAAAACTAAAGACTATAATTTGGGGTTATAACAGATCAATTTGTATTGCATTTTGTAGATCGAGCTTACTTTGGCAACATGGAGTAGAGAAGATCTTCCGCTCTTTTCTTCTCCTCCAGATAATCCGCTGTGCGCTCCGAGACGAGAGCTTCCAAGTTGTTGGCGTACTGTTCCATACGGGACAACAAGTTGTCGAGGATGTTGCCTTTGTCACCGTCCCTGAAACAACCAATAATGTCAATCATTACATTCTGTTTTCTGTATCAATTGCACTGAATGACTGAATATAAGAATATAATTGTGTATAACTGAGAGAGCTCAGAGTTCGCATCTACAACTAGGTTACATAGGAATAAGGATAATAGAGGAATAGAGGAATACGTGGGACCAAGTGTGTCCCAACTGATGGTATGTGTTTGATTGCAGTTTTACAACCTTTACATCTCTGTGACCACAAGGATAATCAGTCTGGATCAGAAAAAGATAGTGAGTGATAGCATGAACACTGATTACTACGACACACAAATGTGCCAGATTACATAGTGGCAGCAACAAGCACGTGCCGGTGGCGTACACTGTATCACCATGGCGACGCATGCTGGCCAGCATCCTTCATGTCCCTTCTTAGGACGTGTAGGTTCATGGGACTTAAATTTAGATATGATAAGGCGTATAACTACCTATTTTGAATATTTACATTTTATTCAACAAGATAACACCAGCAGGAATATCTAGGATGCATATACCTGTTCATGTATGTGTTTATTCCCGAACACAAACAATATCTTTCTTCTCATAAAATACGATACAAAATACGTGCATTAAATTCAAAACAACCATCAATTTGTGATGAATTGTGAGTATAAGTGTCGCTGATATACAATAACATATATAACATATTACACTCATGATCTCTACGTGGATTTTGTTCGAAAGGAGTTCCCTCCCTTAGACTGTGTTGAAATACTTACAGGCAATTATTGTTGGGCAAATTACCATCACGCCATGAGACAACTTAAATATATCAACGGGAAATAATCAAATATTTTCTGGACAATTTTTTGTGGCAGGCGCTGCCGGTAGGGTAGGACATGCTCACATCTTTCGTAAACACCTGTTGTCATCACTAATTTTCAGCGATCCATTCATGTATGCGCCTTAAGGCCGTATGGAATCTGTTTCGTCGGATATTTAAGACTGGTTTTTCTCTAACGTTGAGGGGTTTTATGTTTACATTCCTAAGACTACAATTTCAATACGGATCGACGAGATCACTTACTTGTTAAGTTTCCTAATGATGGACTTGAGAGCGGTAAAGTCCGGACGCTCGGCCGGGTCTTCTGCCCAGCACCGTTTGATGACGTCAGCAAGTTCGTCACAAGGACAGTCATATTCCTCGATGGTGGGCCGGAAGTATGGCCGCACACCGTTCTTCAACTTTTCATATATATCTGAAATATTGAAAATAAGCCACTTTCATTTATACAGTGAGTGAGTATGGTTGTACGCCGCTTTAAGCAATATTCCAGCAATATCACGGCGGGGGACACCAGAAATGGGCTTCACCGTATACAGAGTTCCCTTAATAGCATCTGTTTGTTGTTTAACGCCGCACTCAGCAATATTCCAGCTATATGACTACGGTCAGGTAATAAATGAGTCTGGACCAGACAATCCAGTGATTGACATCATGAGCATCGATCCACGCTATTGGGATGCGATGACATGCATCAACCAAGTCAGCGATCCTGACCACCCGATCCCGATCTTCCGACAAGCATGGGCTGCTAAAGACCAATTCTAACCTGGATCTTTATTGAAGTTACGTTGAAGTACATTCATGACAACCTTGTAACACTTATGTTTTATGTAAACGTTTTATAACATGGTGTCATTAAAAAGTATAAATATCCTTTGGAAATGGTCTAGAGATCACGTTACATTTCTCGTGATTGGCCTTACAAAATCATATTTGACATTTACTTTCTCATACTTCTATTCAGCATTATGTATTTTTTGTCATTATGGCGAAAACGAATTCCCATTTGAAACCTGTTAATGCCGTCACTGTTTGCTCCATTGACACCATCATGCAAGCTTTTTGTTACGGCGTCAAAGATGGATGTGCGTATTATTTATACCATATTGAACTCGATCGAACACTGGCTGACTTATCGTTGTGAAAGGAAGTTAAAACTCGCAAAATTACTTTCATCGACATATATGCTCATGGAAATAAATACCGAAACAAACGGCAAAACAATAATGTTTCACACCACAGCTAGCAAATGTCAAACTTCATTAAGAGTGCCAGATGATAATCGCGACTTGAACAGCAAACTCGTGGTTGATAGCATGAACAACGACCCACCTTGTCGTGCCTTACATTACCTTCAACTCAACAAGAGAAATCATAGAATGAAAAGTAAGTATGTCTGGTGTATATAACACTCTGTTTATTTCGGTACATACAGGACGTACTGTTCCGTTATGTATTTCCATCAGTATATCTGCCTACCGTATTCGGTCAACCCCTTCCTAACTTTCTAAAAATAACATACTAGTTACAATTCCAAGACGAACATAACCAAAATAGACATCATCCTCATTATCATGAGAAGTTTATTTGTGTACGGCATTCCATGTCGTCCCCCGATAATTCTATCATATTTTCTTTCTCATGTGTCGGCGCCAATATGCATAATATTTCCAAAACCTTTAGCGTACGCTCAGTCTGTCAAGACGGATCTGAGATAAGATCATTCCCGTCGCAATATATTTTAACCCACGTTCTGAAAAAAACTCTCTCCTTCTGTGATCAATCTGAACGCTGGATTTACATCTATTCGAGAGGCAGGAGATGGCGCGAGCGCGAATGTTCATCTCAAGAGCGCTCATTACTTTTGGCATAGTCTTCATAAACATAGAGGTTTAAGTGATGCTTTGCTTGACTGATGAAGTTGATGAAAATGTTTTCCATAACAAAAATACAAAAAATACGACGGGGATAAAAAAGAACCCAAAAGACATGGCAGGTCCGGAACAGTTCTGCGAGGCATTTTCCAGTTGCAGAAAGCGATGGTACCTTCTTTTGTTTAAAGTATTCAACGCTGGGCCTTTTAAGACTCGAACATCCCAATTGTAGGACATTTAATAAGTGCATTATCATAATTACTATAATATATTCATTTAATGATTCAACACCCCATGTTCAGAAAATCCGACTATCACCAAGGATCAAAAGGAATTAGATGTCAGACTTGGACAGGTGTTTCTAATTGCACTAACACGAGTCGGGATATCATGTCTTCGATATTCTTCCGGGGGCAAAGCTATTTGGCAATTCTACATATCTACTTTAAACTGCGCTGCACTGTTGTCTCAAAGGCTATTGATTGGAATGAGATGGTTTCTGTCGTCGTTACTTACCTTCCGGGCTGAAGTCGGCATTGGCGACGTGGAAGACGCCACTTCTGTACACGATTTCCTGACATATGATGCCGAAGCTGTAGACGTCCCCCTTGATGTTGCCTTCTGGGGGCCGATGATGTAGTCGCAGCAGCTCCGGAGATGTCCATAACTTGCCTGAAATGAAGATTTGTCATGATTTGTTGCAGCGGAATTTGTAGAACGGTGGCCGAGTCGTCTACATTAGGATTACTAATTCAGCTTGTATGCAAAATATGGTTCATGATTGGTTCTGCCAAACCCGGACAAGAAAAGCATGTTCTCTTGAATCACACGAATGAAAATATTTCCCCTGCAGGTAGGCTCATTATATGAATTAGAAATGTGTTTCTAACGTAATTGATTTCCTCAACAATTGACTGCATCTGTGTTCTTGTTGACAGAGCGTCTGACGGTTCGATTCAAGACTGCGTCATACCAAAATAAGATTGTACGTGTTGCGACCCTGCCTGTCCCTCGGGATCAAGGGGATAAAACAAGGACTGTGTCTGAGTGAGATGTTCATGTTAAGACAGCAGCATGATATCTCTGTGGGCTAGCACCTCAAAACCGGCGTTATTTTGAAAGAGTACAAGCATCCGCACACAGACACACACACACACACACGCGTCCATGCACGTCGCTATGAAAGTGCAATCATCTTGACATTCTCCAGACATAAAAATGAGCGTGCCTTGATCTATTCCCGGTAGTAGTTGTCATCAGTTACATTACAGTGAAAAAAAGGAAAAAGCCAGGAATACATATGTTTGAAAAGGTATGCGAGATTCACATGATAGAGTGAAGATGAACTAATGGTGGCAGACAGCTCATTGTTGTCGTTGGCATCTTCCACAATACCTCAATATTGAGGTCAAACGGTGTACGTTTTCCAAGACTGGGAGTTGTACGTGACCCTTCAGCGTGACTATGTCACGTGCTTCATCAACATGTGACTGGAGAGTGAGGTTTGGTTTCACTTTTGATCTTTAGTGAGTGAGTATGAATATACGCCGCTTTTACCAAAATTGCAGCAATATTACCGAGGTAATCGCATATGGGCTTCACATTGTACCGATGTGGGGAATCGAACCCGAATGTCCCGCGTGACGAGCGAGCGCTTTAACCACTAGGCTACCCAACCGCCCCTTATCTTTAGTAATAGGTCAGTCATTGAATGGTAACCCCAGGAATGAGTTTCTCACATTGTAACCATGTGGGGAATCGACCCGAATGTCCCGCGTGACGAGCGAACGCTTTAACCACTAGGCTACCCAACCGCCTCTTATCTTTTGTAATAGGTCAGTCATTGAATGGTAACCCCAGGAATGAGTTTCTCACATTTTAACCATGTGGGGAATCGAACCCGGGTGTTCGCGTGTAGAGGCAGAGCTCGTACCACTGCACTACCCCACCGCCACGTTTGTGACACAATAAGTACTTTCATGATTCTAGTTGTACAGGGGCCTTTAACCGGCACGGGTCAAGCTTCAAGCTTTCGTTCAAACAGGCCGAGTTTATTTTTGAAAGCGAGGTTGGTTGGATGTCGCACTTAGAGAACGAGCTAAATGTGCCACTTGGAAGCCGCGATACGCTTCTGTACGTGCACGTGGAAACCATGTGGGTTTAACGCCGCTTTGAGCCGTATTTCAGATATAACACGGAATGTCAGCTTAATGTGGTGGGAAAACTGGAAGAAATGCACATCTTGGACGTATACCATTTTGTTAACATAAACCTACGAGCAGGGCAACCTGTTAAATCTCATCGTCACCCTTCACCTAGTCTGTCTTACAGACCCTGATACAAATATATCAAATACAGCCCATGCAAGTCTATAATGTTTGGCTAGTCTAGATTACTGCAGTATAAAGGTAGTCTCTGGGCTCCTTTTTATTTTATTTTTATCAAGATAATTTAACAACTGTTTTTTCTGTACGATATGTTCATTTCAGATACTAGATGTTAATCGACCCTTCATCCTCGGAACGTAATAGTTAACTGTGAGGATGAAATTGTATTATTCTGCTTTTTTCAGTAGATATTGTTAATGGCAACCGTCAAATCAACTGGTTAAATGAGAGGGATAATTTGTCAGAAATGGTAGAAAGAAATTACAAACATAAACTTAAAAGTTTAAAAATCATCACGAACTCTTGGTTAGCACGTGACCTGACCCCATAATGTAGATTAACTGTACTAAAAAGTCTTATTTTACCTAAACTAACCCATCTTTTCTCAACCCTACCTAATCCAAGTGAAAGGTTTATAAAAGTACTCGAAACACTGTATTTTCGTTTTATATGGAAAAATAAACCAGACAAAATCAGTAGAAATATTATGATGAAACCTTATGAAGAGGGAGGTTTAAGGGTGCCTGATATTAAAAATACAATCAATGCTAAAAAGATATCTTGGATTAAACGTTTGTTCAATTCACATCTCCACTCTAAACTTACCACTCTTTTGATTAATAATATACTCCAACACAAATTGATTTTCTACAAAAATGCCAATTCTATATTTCGGAAAAGGTTATTAATGATAGGACCAATGCTATCTGGTTATGTGTGCATGGGGAAGCTTAAAAGAAAAAAAGGAAATTCTATCAAAGAGGAAAAAGATATATTATCACAACCTTTATACGAATATAAGAATAGGGAACACTCCGGTATACTATAAACATTACTCGGGAAAAGGCATTACTCTTGTAAATGATTTGATAGACGAAAACTGAAATTTTCTAGATCTTAAAGACCTAGATCATGTATACGACTGTAAAACACATTTGCTGGACTATTGTAGTCTTATTCAAGCAATAAAACAATATCTAAAGCGTAAGAGTATAGCCCTAACATCTAAGTTACATCTGCCCTTAATACCATATTTCCTTGAAAACTTAGTATCCAACAATATGATATCCCCAAAATACATTCAAAGATGGGAACTAGATCTTGGCCTAAATGTGACGGGAAAAGGTTGGCAAGCGATTAATCGTAGCCCCCACAGATATAACGTGTCCTCAAAACAAAAATGGTTCCAATACAGTATTATTCATAGAATTATTCCAAAAAACGAGTTACTGTACAAAATAGGATATAAAGAATCATTTCTTTGCAATTTCTGTAAACGAGGAACAAACCTGAGTGCACAGACATCAAACAAGAAATAACCGATTCATATTACATCGACAGAAATATATCATATTCAGAATGTAAATACACACAGCTCATGACATTTTGGTGTCTCTGTCACCAACTTACACAATCCAACAATATGACACTGGAATAGCTTAGTTTTGTTTGTTATCATCTATAGATATACTTTGTAACTTGTATGTATTTAAGATTGCACTTGAACTATATTCTGTAAACATATTGTTTGTGTACTCCAAAAAGAAATAAAATCATAAAAAAGAAATCTATGATTGTGGGTTCGAATCCCGGTTCACCCCGTTTATGTTTCTAGGTTTGTCAGCACCATACACGTGCTCGTGGGTTTCACCGAAGTGGTAAACGAGCTGCATCACTTCGGGCTTTCCTACCACATTAAGCTGATACGCCGTGATATAACTGGAATAATGCTAAAAGCGGCGTTAAACCCAACTCACTCACTCAATCTATGTATGGGCCATCGAACTGAAGATGAAATGGAGGCTGAAGTGTCAATTGCAAATAATATCAGTAGACTTTACATATAAATACAGATTCTTTATATTTGTCAACACGTTCATTCGAAACATAGTGAATGATGGATACCAGTCACCAGAATATCACCGTCAGAAGGAAAAGCGATTCGTAGTTCGCTAACAATCAATACTTTAACTGTATAGTACCCAAAAACTGTTCTAAATATCAGAAACATTATGAGCTGATATTTTCAAGAATTCCTTTTGATCTTCTAATCGCCAGAGGAGAAAGCGAATGATTTGAGGTTTTGACATCAAAGAATTATTTTCTTTGAGACAGTACAAACGTCCTTGAGTTCTTCATTTGGTGCACAGAATGAATTATTGCAAAACATAATATCAACTGTTAGACGTCATCAGATTGCATTCAAATATACGTTTGATTAGGCAATGCTAGCAAAAAGCTCAGCAACCATATGACCTTTAAGTTAGATGATATTTTCATCCAAATCTGCTGAAGCGACATATATATAGTACTATTAAAAACGCCTCTCGATCGCGAACGTTTCGCACAGCCTTTCGCTTTCGCGATCTCGGGGACGTTTTCTTTCACCAAAGAGTGAATATGTATTGCTCGTCCGATAGTTTCACTATCGGTATTATAAGATTACAGATTTTACACAGATGTAAACAATTAATTTTAATCTGCTTATTATGTCTTGAAAGCCATGTCAAACATGAGAACCAACTTTGTCACAACTAACGCCACAATTATTAAAACAGTTCCTTTTCAAAAAGTTTCCTCCGAAACTGTTTCACAAACAATTTACGCGAATAATCCGCACTTTTAGACCAACCACAAAAAAACCGAATGTACGTTCACTATGCATACAAAGCAAATCCATATGAAACAGACATGAACTTAATGTTTAATAACTTCTGTAAATGTAGCAAGTCTTGAAAAACAATGTCTTAACTTTGCAGTCTACAGCTTTAACTGAAATGTCAATTCCTTGAAAATCCAATTACATTTATTTATGGAGAACGGTTCCAACCTAGTTTAACTGCTAACGGCAATGGGAAATCAATGGTGACATCTAACGTTAAAAAGAGTGTATCCTTTAACTTCCGTCGGAATCTAATGAGAAAGAGGAATAAGCTGCACAGGCAGAGTGTCAAATGATATTACCCTAACTACTCCAGAAGCCTTCTCTGTACGAATTGGTGACACATAGTTAAGCACCATTGTTTGTCATTGTTCCTCCAAACAATCGACCGTCATGTAATTTAATCATCTGAAGAGCACGCAGTGCCTCCTCTCCGCTATCTCACCCTCAGCGAAATATGCATGGAATTTTCCATCAGTGAAAAGTTTAGTTTATCTCACAATGCATTTTTCCTAAGGCTGTGTTTCTCTCAGACTTTCGTTTTCCGTAACGTTTTTAGCATTCTAAGGGTAAGGAACTTATACGACCATTGCCTTGTGCATTGTTGGCTGTCATGAGGTTCACGTTATAAGATAATAACCTGCTCATTAAGCCAATTTGTGGAACTTCTTAAACCGTACTCCATGATAACTGCCTTCAGTAATCATGAAAGTAAGTTGTATTTTGGAAAGAGTGAGACTAAACTGCTCTGTGGTATTTCTAAAAAGCCGAAAACCAAGCGTCGTTTCTGAGTGAGGTCAGGTCAACCCTGCTTACGCTTACTCGCGAACACCTGGTGCCATCACCGATACATTCATATAATTGACTTAAGGCGTCAGAGCCTCGAGACTCGAACGGAACCTGTCAGGTAAGGGACTCTGTACTGTGAGTTAACGCTTCTCAACCGCGGGGCCGCCATGTCCCAATATGATTATTACAGGGTCACTTTGTTTATAAATTATGTTCAGATATAATTGTTTGTGCTTATCAATATCACTGCGGGGGACACCAGAAATGGGTTTCACACATTGTATTCAAGTCGGGAATCGAACCCGGGTCTTTGGCGGGACGAGGAAACGCTTTAACCTCTAGGCTACCCCTAGACCGCCCCTAGGCCACGGGAAGACAAAGAGGGCATTTGTATACAAGTCTTGGGCAGGCTTTTAGAGCTTATTCACATAAAACATGTGGCAGCGAGTTCAGAACAATTAATACTCTTGACGCTAGAAAAATAGTTTAGAAGCACAATGGTGGTGGTGTGTGTGTCTGCTTGTACTAGCCCCAACTTATGCCGGGAGTGCCAACTTATAACAACAAGTTCCATCTGTTAACGTCATTTGAAATGACACGGCCGGGGATCGATCTACGTCCTTCCTCCAAACGCTCTATTCACTACACCACGGAGGTTGTCTCACATATAAAGACATGTAAGTCATCAACTAAGAGTGAGTGAATGAGTGTGGTTTTACTCCACTTAACGCGATATTCGAGCAACATCACGGAGGAAGACTCCAAGAGGAGGTTTCACACATTGTAAGGAATCGAACGAGCTAAATACTTGTATGTAACGCAGAGGACAACACAGATGCATAAATTGTACCCGTGTGGGAAATCGAACCGTGTTTCCGACGTGAATAGCCAACACTTTAACCACTAGGTTTCCCAACCGCTTCTGTTCATCACGAAGACACATTCATATATGTACAGTGCAACGTATGTAACACAGAGGAGTCGGTAGACAACAGTGACATATGTAGGAAGCGTTACTTACTTCTGTAATAAGCATATGTGCCCCCTTCTACATCTTCCTGTGAGCCCCGGAAAGAGTGGACACCAAAATCGGTGATTTTAACCACAAAACGACTGTCCACAACACAATTTGTGCTTTTCATGTTGCCATGGGAATGGATTTCACTGCTATGTAGATACGCCATGCCCTGGAAGAGAATTATTATTATTATTATTATTATAATTATTATTATTATTATTATTATTATTATCAGATTAAAATAATAAATGCATCAAAGAGGGTTTGGGTGATCCTGGCACAGTCAGGCTGGTTAGGCTCATCATCAGCTCAGGGCCCTTGCCCCCTCTACACGCAGCCCAGACAGCGAATGGGACTTCTCCCAGGAAGCGCTGCCTATCCGAACCCACCCAGAACTTTTCGGAGAATGTGAAGACTCCCTAACACTGCAGCCTTGTACATTACCCAGATAGTCAGAAGGGATGTACTCCTAGTAGCACTACATTGTAGTGAACCTATCTTAGATTGTAGTGAAAATGTCTTACATTGTAGTGATCATGTCTGACATAGTGATCATGTCTTACATTGTAATGAACATGTTTTACATTGTAGTGAACATGTCTTACATTGTAGCGAACATGTCTGACATTGTAGTGACCATTTCTTACATTATAGTGAACATGTCTCACATTGTGGTGGACATGTCTTACATTGTAGTGATCATATCTGACATTGTGGTGAACATGTCTGACATTGTAGTGAACATATCTGACATTGTAATAAACATGTCTTACATTGCAGTGATCGTATCTTACATTGTGGTGAACATGTCTTACATTGTGGTGAACATGTCTGACATTGTAGTGAACATGTCTTACATTGTAGTGAACATGTCTGACATTGTAGTAAACATGTCTTACATTGTAGTGAACATGTCTTACATTGTAGTGAACATGTCTTACATTGTAGTGAACATATCTGATATTGTAGTGGACATATCTGATATTGTAGTGAACATGTCTGACATTGTGGTGAACATGTCTGACATTGTAGTGAACATGTCTGACATTGTGGTGAACATGTCTGACATTGTGGTGAACATGTCTGACATTGTAGTGAACATGTCTTACATTGTGGTGAACATGTCTTACATTGTGGAGAACATGTCTGACATTGTGGTGAACATGTCTGACATTGTAGTGAACATGTCTTACATTGGAGTAGACATATCTGATATTGTAGTGAACATATCTGACATTGTAGTGAACATGTCTGACATTGTGGTGAACATATCTGATATTGTAGTGAACATATCTGATATTGTAGTGAACATGTCTGACATTGTGGTGGACATGTCGTAAATTGTGGTGGACGTCTGACATTGTAGTGATCATGTCTGACATTGTGGTGGACATGTCTGACATTGTAGTGGACATATCTGACATTGTAGTCAACATGTCTTACATTGTAGTGAACATGTCTTACATTGTAATGAACATGTCTTACATTGTAGTGAACATGTGTTCATAATGTCAGTCAACAGATTGAGCGATACCAAACCTAAGGCACCGAGAACAATGGGGAGTCGGACAACTTGGTACTTGGGATGCAAGCGTGACATTTCGAAAGCGAGTTCCGCATATTCGCCATGTTTTTCCTCAATGTTGTCAATCACATTAGTGTCAAAGGGGACAGAAAATTCAATGATATAAATGATTTCATTGGATTTATCAAAAAGGACAAGATCAGGTTTGTTGGCCTGGATACGTCTTAGGCTGTAAATGGGCCTCTTCCAAAGGATGTTGATTTGGGAACATTTTAACATCTTATATGGTATATAATACACACATACATGTGTATACCAGTCAGTGAATATTGTTTTACGCCGCAATCGCAATATTCCAGCCATATCAAACATCATGTCCGTCTAGAGAATCGAACCCGGGACTTCGGTCATCGAGCTTATATTTGGCTTGTATATCATATATTGTACTAAATAATTTTCAACTAATGAAACCATCAACAAGCATGCTACCAGTTTTTAAACTATTTAAAAGACTTACCCTGACGATGTCTTGCATGATGGAATATCGAAACATCCAGTCCAATTTGATTTGTTCATTTTCTAGAACATCCTGAAAGGATAGAAGCGGACATTAATCTTCATACAAATACACCATGAAACCAACGAATAGCTCCATCCAATTGCAGCGAACATTTACGTGTATGTATTTCCAATTAGCATTAACGTTGATCAAGGAAGATCGTTCTGTGGATATACAACTTCTTTATTAAATGAATGCGATTAAATGTTATAACTAACATCGTTAGCAAACGTTCAGACTATCAACGTCTTCAAAGAAGTTGCCTTAACGTTAATACGTCAGTTGCATTAAATATAATTCGACATATGTAATGCATGCGTACTGATAAGTAATCACACTAAAATAGTGATTGAGAGAATGAGCCGCTTTGAACACTATTTCAGGAATATCACGACGTAATGGCTTAATGTGGGCGGGTGGCGGAAGTCAACGTTAATGTCTTTATTAGACCCATCAGTATATGGTGCTTAAGAACCAGGGATCATAAATTGGGCGAATATGCTATTCGGATCCACTGGACCCGGATCACTGGTCCTTTACGCCCAAGGACACAACTCTGCACAATGCCATCAAATTGCGGCGCCTTAGACAGCTGGGCCATCCATGAAGTACATACCTGAAGGCTCCCTTTGGGGCAGTATTCCGTCAATATGCACTTGTTCGGTGGGTCAATGCAGGCGCCAATGAAACGGACGGTGTGGTCATTTTGTAAATCTTTAATCTGCAAATAAATCAAGTGTTCATTTTAAATGATCGGATTATTCTATATTCGGGTTCACGATGTTGATAATACACTGAATATTTATGTATAAAATGTTGTCTCAATCTGTCGCACAAGTCTCGGAAATAACTCGATGACGTGGGTTTTACAAAAATATCAGCGGTCAGAGACAGATGTGTGATACTATACACCAAGTAACACGCACGGAACATATATTATGCCCACGCTACGCTATATGAGATATTTCTATAACAGTACTCCCTGAAATGATCAGATAATAAAGAATATGAATAATCAAGTACATCATCAATATATAATCACTGTATATTATTCAAAAGAGGTTAAAGAACACCCGACGCTTTCATCTTAGAATACACAAAAAGTAATATATGAAAGTGCTCGTCAACTTCTTTTGAGTAGTATTGTTTCAAGTGTTTTCTTTTAGTTCACCTTGGTACCCATAAATACCGCGTTTCATAATTAAAATTCTTTACAAACTAATGGTATTTGTTTTGAATGCATTGACGTGTGAATTTGTTAAGAATTTATTGTCACTATGCTATCTTGAATCTGAAACAAAAACAACGCCGTTTTAACTTCTTGCCGCTACCTAACCCGTGTTTCACTCTCACAAATCGATTTAAACTTTCCAATGCAACAAATATCTTCAGTAAGGTCAAATGTTTCCTGTATACGGTCAGTAAAGGCAAGCATCGAAGGGTAACAGAGGTCAGCTGTCCGGCTTGACCACACGTCCCTGCTGCACTGAACACCAGCACCAACTACGGAGATAGAGATGATTTACGCTTAAAACCTCTTCAGCATCTTTGAAGAAAAGCTTGCCATCCAACGCCAAGTGATTACGCTAACTTTCTTGACAGATGTAATTACGTTTCCTGATTCAAATTGACAACATGTGCACTTGTACTCAGAACACGCATTCCTTGATTCTTTCTTTAATCTGAAGTCATACCGAAGTCTCCCTGTACCGCTCCTAAGAAGTGTGAACCTTGGTATCAGCCTGTGTAAATAATCCTAACGTTGACGTTTATTCACCTGATTGATTGATTGATATGTACATCGCACGTGTCTTGTTCATTTCTCATCTGATGTACATGTGTTGATGTAACACGTTTGTGAGGGTTGTTTATACACAATGGTGATAAATACAGTTTCTCACTCGTACATATGTTTCGTTATCGCAGACTGGTAACTTTTTCATGTAAATAAATTTGCAACGGATACCAGACAATTATCATGAACGATAAATGTACATAATTCAGTTTCTTTGACACGCGTGCACTTATGTATGTAATATGACATAGCTCATATAATATACATGTAATAATCAAGTTGCTATATATATCACAGCGGAAGAAGTTAACCAGATGAAATTGGCATGTAATATGTCACATCCTGCACAAGCCATTTAGCGTGTATTTTGGGTAAATTACAGAGACCCGAATTTAATGACCGGGGTATTAAAGAGCAGGGGGTGGTCCGTATTCAGGCGAATAAGGTTGGACATGCGACCACCACAGTTACAGCCCTCTGTGTTTCCGTGTCTATGTCATTTCAGAGTCGGTTGAAATGTACATTGCCAATCATAAAAATGACATGCGTTTCACTCCCATGCTCCGGGGCAAATCTATTCAGTTTATGGCGCACTTCCATTAGTCGCATTAATAGCCACCAAATTGAAAGAAATATGATTCTGTAGATCGATAGTTCTGAAGCCTGTATTGATTGATTAATCCGCGTGGTATCTTATAGATATTGCAATATAACGAATTTGTAAATTAGGATAAACCCGCATATTTAACAAAGTGGGTTACATGCTTTCAATGCTCGACATATAATAAAGTAGTGTATTTCAAAAGAAACCTGATTGATAATTGTGAAACAGGCCTCTTTCATAAATCCTTATGTATATTTGTTAATGTACTGTCAAATATGTATAAAACGCCATCGCAAGAAATTAACCAGTCTCCCACAGAGATTCCCTGAGGCCAAGGTAAAATAGAGGTGTAAATTATATGAATGGATCATTGAAAATCAGTGCACGTGCAAGGTGTTCGCGAAAAGGTGACCATATCCTGTCCCAAGGCAAATCTATAGATATATTTTCATAACATCTTAGTACAACTATTATCTTGAAAATCTCGCGGTATACAGAGAGCGAGAATCTAGTAAAAAAAGTATCACCTACCCGCTTCACCTCCAGTAAGAGTGTTTTAGTAATTGTTATGCTAGACTTGGGTATCCGTTTGACAGCGACGATGGCACCCTGAAAGAAGACGTGTAGACGTTACTTTCATCAGATACAATTACATACCACTGAAATCACAGCCAGAAGAAAATAATCAACATTATGAGATTCGATAATTTTATTGACATTCAAATCTCTATCAGAGAACAAACATATATGGAACGAAAAATCACTATTATTGTCCTTTCTACATATACAAGCGAAAAGATCATCTTTGGCAGGAGATACTTTTATCACGATGAAACAAATATTGGCTCAAGTTCCTTTCTTTAATTGAAACTGATGGATTCATTGGGAGATATATCATTGTGGAGACTTGTTTGTTTGTTGTGTAACGCCACACTCAGCAATATTTCAGCTATATGATGGTGGTCTGTAAATAATCAAGTCTGAAGCAGACAATCCAGTGATTGCCATCATGATCATCGATCTACGCCATTGGGATACGATGACATCAACCAAGTCAGCGAGCCTGATCACCCGATCCCGTTAGTCGCCTCTTTAGTATTGGTTGCTGAAGACCACGTATAACCCGGACCTTCACGGATGTGTGGAGGTTGGTGACGTTGGGATGAAGATGTTCCGTTTTACCTTATAATATCCCGTTTTTGTGAAGAGTTGACGATTGCCAGCATCACTCAGATGTGCAGCGATTGTGTCACCCGAACAGGAACTATTGTAAGACATTCTCTGAAATAATAATAATAATAATAATAATAATAATAATAAATAATAATAATAATAATAATAAATAATAAATAATAATAATAACTGCATTTTGGGGAGAGGGTGATGGGGTGTGTGGGGTAGCCTAGTGGGTACAATGTATGAAGGCTACTTCTGGTGTCCCCGCCGTGATATTACTGGAATATTGATAAAAGCGACGTCAAAGCCATACCCACTCACACTCAACTCATTCACACGATCTGCAGTTGGATAAGAGGATGAATGAGTTGCTGGGAGACGCTGACCGTGCGATTCCAGAGAGTGTAGGAAAGAGACTACAGGCAAAGGGGAACCGTCTCGTCTTCAAGGAAGACATTTTAGATCGTACATGTAACAAAGAATACAAGTATTCGCAAAGGAGAATACCTCCCCGGATTAATTTAAATACACTACAAGTCCTACACGATAAGTTCACGATAAAGAGAACCCACCACGATACGCAATTATAAATTGTCGCATTAAATTTCCTGCTGACGAATTATTACTGCTGTATCATGTTAAAACATTGAAAGGGTTTTATTAGTGCATCACCGCATGATGCTAGGTATCGATCCTGATGCACTTTCCTCGCAACTGATTGTTATGCATCTGACCTAGCAGACAGACACCGGATACAACAGATTAACATTCAGACAATAACACTCTTATATCCTTACCTTAATCAGGAAAAGACATCTCCTTTCTCCTTACTGATTGTTGAATGAAGCTTAAGAGAGGAAACAGCTCAAACGTCTGGTCATTATCCATTCAACTCATTTTAGTTAAATCTTTTCATCAATTACCTACCCTGTTCAAGCTCATTCGGCTTCCGTGACGTTCCAATTTCCGATTCTTTTCCGGCGATCCAAAAATGATATCGTCCCACCGCACTCTCCAGTTCATTTCAGCCAGTTCCGCTTCTAGTTTTATATGTCTGTTAACGAGAGAGTTAGTTTCGTGTAATCAGCCATAGGTTCGGCACGGACAATTGGTAGCTAACCTTGTTTTCAGGTCCGTTGGCACGTCTCTTAACACAAGGTAACGGTAGTGTCTGAATACAAATCATATTTCATAATGACCTTGTTTAATCCCCCAAAAAAGTTATAGAAGATCCGATGTTTTCATATGACTATGCTTAATCTCTCGTGGCCATGACTTATTAACTGTATTCAGATGAAAAAGTCGGGTATTATTTAACTTCCTTTGAGTAGTTTATTTGGCCAATTATATGGCATACAAACACCTGCAGCCAGTACCAGAGCATGTGCATTTGGAATACATGGTAACAATTACTTGGAGTCTGGATAAGTCACATTCAGTACTGGAGACCTTTTTCTCCTGCCATCCAAACAGTGAGAAAAACATTATCACTTGTGATCTCCTTTGACATGATACCCCCACATTACAAAGCATTTGGGACCTCCTTTGTCACGGAATCCCCAGGGAGAAATGCCCCCCCCCCCCCCCCCCCAGACAGGGAACAATATGGAGACGAGCATGCTGTACAATGCACGTGTATTTGGGACCTCTTTTGTCTGAGAATCCGCACAGGGAGACACGCAAACAACACCGGTGACCTCCTTTGTCCAAGGACCCTAATAGGGAGACGCGCTTGATGTACAATGCACGTGTATTTGGGACCTCTTTTGTCTGGGAATCCGCACAGGGAGACAAGCAAACACCGATGACCGCCTTTGTCCTGGAATCCCAACAGAAGGACGAGCAGGAGCTAGGGGACATCGACGACTTTTGCCATGGAAGTCCCAACAGTGAGACAAGAAAAAGGTAGTGGGGCGTTATTTTGTCCAGCTCGAAAGTAGAAGTTATGTAGAGTACATTGTGTAAAATATTTTATAAAAATGATGTTACACAACAACAACTTCTCAAAATGGGGATTATTACAATAACCGGCAGCCCTAGCAAATCATAGTCAAGTTTTCCAAATCGCACTTTCCTGATGTTCTCAATGTGTAACACAAATGACACATATTGTCAGGTTTACAAACATGTAAATACAGAGCCAAACATGTAGAAACATGACAGACATAGACGCATTTAACAAACAGTATAGGTGCAGACACAACCTATCAGAAATGTTACTTAGACAAAGATCAAACAATGGAACAAAAGTCTTTCAAGAAAATGTAAAAACATATACACAAAATATTCATCACGAGTAAACAAAAGAAATGTTGTTTTTGTTTAACTGAATTTACCAATGAAACGAGGAAACAAATAGCAGTAACCTTACCAAGGAAGACAAAATAAGAAATCACAGAAAAATATGTCAATTGTCAAAACCAAAACCATCTTTTATGCCTCGTGAATAAAATTTATTCAAAAAGATTACAACATATTCATTACAATTATAATTTGACAGTAATCCACACTATAAAAATGACAGGATTAAAGCATGATTCCCACGACGACATAACGACTTCACTATCCATATCCATATCCAAATTATATATATACACACACTGTATGTTTAAACACACAGTGGGGTTTTCCCCTGGATATAATAACATGTGATTGGTTATTCCAAGATCACCATAGAGACAATGACTGTTATTTCCCTGAATATGACGTCTTAAACTCATCTTAAAGTTTTTCTTATCTCTAACACTCTTCAAAGGGAACATTAATGGATGCATTTATGGACATATTTTATTGGCTTTTTTCTGCATATATATTTTCAAAGATGGTAAAATATGTGAATTATACAACTGGTGCAAGAATGTGCATATGTATTAATCTTCATGCTACATATGTGTCGTGATGGTAAAATGTAATATATACATATACAGTATATAATCGTAGAACATTAAACCAGCCCAGTCCATCATCACAACTAATGCCGACAGGACCAACATGAAAACCAGACAGCGCAAATATACGGCTGAAGTATACTGTTTACTTCTAAGGAACATTCGGTTAAAAAGATACACTTCGTGTCCTATTCAACATGCAACATGCAGCGTGTGGAACACGAGATGGAAAGTATAAGTTTACTTTTACAAATACCCTTCAAGTCCTTTTCAACATGCAATCAATCTTGGTGTGTGGGGAACATCGGATGGAAAGTATAAGCTTACTTCCACAAATATCCTTCAAGTCCTTTTCAACATGCAATCATTCTCTGTGCGTGTGGAGAACATCGGATGGAAAGTATAAGCTTACTTCCACAAATACCCTTCAAGTCCTTTTCAACATGCAATCATTATTGATGTGTGGAGAACATCGGATGGAAAGTATAAGTTTACTTCCACAAATATCCTTCAAGTCCTTTTCAACATGCAATCAATCTTAGTGTGTGGAGAACATCGGATGGAAAGTATAAGCTTACTTCCACAAATATCCTTCAAGTCCTTTTCAACATGGAATCATTCTCTGTGCGTGTGGAGAACATCGGATGGAAAGTATAAGCTTACTTCCACAAATACCCTTCAAGTCCTTTTCAACATGCAATCATTATTGGTGTGTGGAGAACATCGGATGGAAAGTATAAGTTTACTTCCACAAATATCCTTCAAGTCCTTTTCAACATGCAATCATTATTGGTGTGTGGAGAACATCGGATGGAAAGTATTAGTTTATTTCGTCAAATACCCTTTAAGTCCTTTTCAACATGAAATCATTATTGGTGTGTGGAGAACATCGGATGGAAAGTATAAGCTTACTTCCACAAATATCCTTCAAGTCCTTTTCAACATGCAATCATTCTGTGTTTGTGAGTGGAACACGAAATGGAAAGTAAAAGTTTACTTCCAGAAATACCCTTCAAGTCCTTTTCAACATGCAATCAATCTTGGTGTGTGGAGAACATTGGATGGAAAGTATAAGTTTACTTCCAGAAATACCCTTCAAGTCCTTTTCAACATGCAATCAATCTTGGTGTGTGGAGAACATTGGATGGAAAGTATAAGCTTACTTCCACAAATACCCTTCAAGTCCTTTTCAACATGCAATCATTCTGTGTTTGTGTGTGGAACACGAAATGGAAAGTATAAGTTTACTTCCAGAAATACCCTTCAAGTCCTTTTCAACATGCAATCAATCTTGGTGTGTGGAGAACATGGGATGGAAAGTATAAGTTTACTTCCACAAATATCCTTCAAGTCCTTTTCAACATGCAATCATTCTCTGTGCGTGTGGAACGCCAGATGGAAAGTATAAGTGTGCGTGTGTGTTCGTGTTCGTGTTCATAAATCCCCTTCAACATGCAAGCACACATCGGTAAGAATGTATGAGTTTACTTCTACGTATACCAGTCATTTCTTATTCGACATCTAAGCATAATCTAAGCGTCTGTTGAAACACCTAACGTGGACCGTCGGGCTTTCGCAAGAATAACATCGATCTGTCCTTTGGCCATCTTCTTAATATCAACATCATCTATTTCTCGCATCTCAGAAGCAACATGTTGCCCGTAACAGTCGTCGTTGTTGACAGCTTGAATCAAAGTGTCGTCCTTTCGCGTTGTCACTCTAATACTTCTGTCCAAAGGCTTATTCAACATGGTCACAGACGCAGAATCAGACGCTGAACAGCTTTGTAGAGCGAAATCGCTTTCACACTCTTTGTTGGACACAGATGTTTTGGGAGAAGGGAGATCCGCACGAAACGAGATCCGTTCAACGTGGGTTTCCTGCGTTTGTGACATATCCTCATTACTATGTACAAGTCCTCTCGAGATCTCGGGAATGTTCTTTCTCGTATACTCCACCCTCATGTTGCGAACTCTACTTTTTACGCTTGACTCTGGAACAATCGATGAAAGCAACATGTTTGATTTTTAGACCTTAAATAACCATGGAAATCTTAATTGCTAGAATGTTTTCAACGTTTCGAAACGTATCTAATTTAGTGCTTTAACAATTTATCAAAGTAAATTCAATTCAAAAGTATTTTATTCCAGATTTAATGATGCAAAATACGAAAACAGTTAAATCAATTTTGTCTTTCAATTTTACACTGAAACATATAAAATGTCAACTCTTACAATCTTAAGATAAAAAAAGAACGTTTTATTCTCATTTCAGTGAACATAAACCATTTTACTGCATGCTATTTGTTGCAGGCAACTGCAGGTTTGTGTTAAAATTGTTAATATTAGTAACAATATTGTTGCATGTGATATCATTGGTTGCAAAAAAAATTGCAGTGTTTGGTTACATGTGATAGAATTGGTTGCACAAAATGCAGGGTTTGTCGCATGTGATAAAACTGGTTGCAAAAAATCCCCACAGGGTTTAATCCCATGTAACAGAATTTGAACGAATAATAAGGGCAATAATATAACTCTAAAGGTAAACGAATCATTAACAGACAGCAATAGAGTTAGTATGAACGAATGAATGAATGAATGAATTTATTTGAAACAATTCATAACAGGAAATAGGAAATTGAAAACATTTTATCATGCTTCATTCATCTGTCACAGTTCCAGAATACATCATATTTTCTTCTATTTTATGTAAATAATTTTGACTTTATAAAATAAGACTTAACAACATATTTTGTGTATATTACTTAATCATTTGTGTACTAAAAGTCTATCTCAGTCGGCGATGATATAGTCCGGCCTTCACAAGGTTTGGTTGATAAGCATTATGTATTAAGGGTTAAGACTACATGCGTGTTGTTGATAGGCATTAGGTATTAAGCGTTAAGATTACATGCGTGTTCCGTCCAAAGTTTATTATCAGTCGGTGTTGATATACACCAGCCTTCATTCCCAAGATTTAGTCTATAAGCGTTATGAGCTAATCGTAAAGACTACATGTCCAGCGAGAGAAGTAAACATTACTCTATGATAACGCGCTCTCCAAGAAAACCTAATATGTAATTTTAGTCATTTCTGCATACTCATGTCCTTCAAAACTGCGAGGTAATCTCTAAATTCAGATAGTCAGGACGTAAGTTTAGCAACATTGTGTAGGTATTGTTTAAGTAAGTGATAATTGAAAATGCGACCATATGATGACCTAAGAGCATCAGTGGTATAAATAACGGCCTTTATTCCCGCGGGTACCTCACTGATGAGATACACGGAATAAAGACTGGCCACTAATAGATGCTTCTCTTGGTTGTTTTAAGGTAAGATATGTTCACTTCATATATATTGTATGTTCGTAAACTATTTTCCTATTTTTCCTGTTTTCTATTGCATTCTATATTCTTAGTTGCTTTGAATAAAATCATCATTTTAAATTAGGCATTACTGATTAAGGTAACCAGTAAAGTTAGTATTATAGTTAGGTTAGATCATGTAGCACGAGAAACAATCTAACAATATAGTGTATATTAAAATAGTATAAAATATAATATGATAACGTTTTTAGACATTGGTTCAAGCAAATTAAAATTACACATAATCGGGCTCGTGGAAGCAAAGTAATTCCTGTGCATCTGTTGTCAATTGTATATTTTATTGAATGTTTGCAAATGAAGTGTATGTAAATGAATGTATCTTTATATGATTACCGTGTGTTCCACTCAAATGATTCAAACTACCCTTGATGTAATTAATGTTTAAACAATGTACTTATTAAGCGAGGCAACTATACTGTACACGCAAAGCCCGTGCGCGCATTAAACACTTGTTGTTTAATTCATTTGCTCATGTATTGCTATATTTTCAGTATTATTAAGCTCTATTTATGTCTACATTGTACACATTTAATGACATACCGTCGGGCATATGACTTTTGGTTATTAACGGTAGTTGAGATATAAAACATGTGGCCATATTATTTAATTAGCGGATTGAAATCTTATTAATATTTGTGTATTCTTGTTATTCGGTTTAAGTTGTATTCTGTAAGGTTGTATTGAAGTAAAGCTCATCTTTACGTCTCTCATAAACATCAAAAGATCATGTAAGATTAATTCAGCAATGGGTGAGATATTTATTAATTTTTTGTGTATTTTTATTATTCGGTTGGTTTAAGTTGTATTCTGTAAGGTTGTATTAAAGTAAGTATCATTACGTTCTTTATAAACATCAAAGATCATGTTAGATTATTCTAGTGATTGGTAAGGTACTTATTAATGTATGTATATTCTTATTATTCAGTTTAGGTTATGTCTGCTAGGTATATTAAAGTAACGCTTATCATTACGTTCTTCATAAATAGCAAAGATCATGTAAGATTATTTCAGTTATTGGTAACACATGTAGTGTCTTACCGAAGAGTTATCCTATTTATTTAAAATACATTGTCCTTAATTGCGCTATATCACGTGTATTTTATTTTCAACCAAATGTAAAGTTTCATTGTTAAATGCAATTGCTTATTGTATGATTCATTGTAAGATTTATACTGTAACTGTTAGTTCATAATTTGCGGAATACTTTAATTGACTTAGGTTGTACTTTGTTTATGTTTTATTGTGATATGTAAAGACTGATGAGATACACGGAATAAAGACTGGCCACTAATAGATGCTTCTCTTGGTTGTTTTAAGGTGTGCGGTCCCTTGCTAATTCCCCGACAACTAATTCTAGGAATTATAATTAGCCTTGACCAAACATAAACCCTTAATAAAGGTTATTATATGTCATAAGGTTTATTATACATTTTTTGTCGATAAATGATATATTTATATTATTTAGACATGTGTCCCCTTTTCGCATTCAAGAAATACATGCAGTTCATTTTCTCTCTTTGATTTACCAAATGCGCATGTGTATAATTGTTGGTGTAAACTGTTCTGTGTAAATAAAAACGTAAAATACAAGTCCATAAACATGACAGATACCTACTAAAAGCAGAGATCTTTTTACAATCATTTAAATTCTAAAGTGAAAGGAATAATTTCATTTGTTACATGCGTCTGTCAGCTGGCATCAGCTTATACTTCATAGATATCATTAAGCCTCTATATGAGCTCGACGTAGTAAATATACTAAAGTTCAATCCAATGTTAACAATATCTAAGATTTTGAAGCAAGTATCTGTTCCTTCCACAGTATAACAATGCCATTCAATATCTTAAAATCATAGGTACCTCTATTATTATACAATCTCTTATGATCATGAAAAGAACAAAATCGAGTTAAACAACATACTAGTATATATTTGTATCACATGAATAACTTTGTAGTACCAATTCTGCACAAAAGATCCAGGTACTTCACATAACTGATGATTAAGCCATATAAGTTTGAAAATGATCTCGTTTAAATGGTTAAAATGATGTTTTCTACTAATCATTCCCCACACATCTGTAAATTTAATTTTAATAAGGATCGTCGACCGACAATTTCATATGTGATATATGTGAGGTCCCAGCCTGACGAATTCATAACGGGTGGGTTGGATGGTTATTTAAGTAAGGCTTTATGCAGTTGCGTTCCAAATGTGATTTTTGAAAGATTCGGTTGATATTATAACTAAGAGTTGAAAAACAACATGGATATTTTTGAGGATTCAATAAAAATGAACTCACCAGGAAGTCCGAAAGCCTTTGCGACCTCCTCGTAGGTCTTGTCCCTTTTGTGCCTGTTATAACAGTGCTTGAATTAAATGTCTTGAACACAATGCCGATCTTGCTATATGCTTAAAGTCCAAAGCGACTCCAAAAGCACGCTGGGTAAGCAATTTTGTAATCACTTGTTTGTGGATTACGTTCTGATCGACCCCCTCCGGACAAACATCTCTTCTTTGTAGACTTGCTCCTCGGATGGTTATTTCTGGGCTACTTTTAGATGCAAATGAATGTGTTTTGTAGCAAAACATGCAAACACTGTCGTGCAATTGCATACCGGTGGGTTTTCGGTAAGAAGTGGAAGATGCACATTTGAAAGAGAGATCTTGCTTTCAGGAAATAAAGAGGAAATGCTCAATTTGTATAATGAACATTATTAAACATGTACATGTACCTTACTTGTGTCCAAGAATGAACGTAGTTATATGTATAAGCGATTATACCTATACGAAAGTACATGTACATGTACATTGTACACAATGAAGGTCATAAAAAGTGAGAGAGAGTGGTTTTACGCCGCTTTTAGCGGGGGAAACCAGAAAAGGGGCTCCTCATATTGTGCCCATGTGGGGAATAGAACCCGGGTCTTCAGGATGTCGAGCCAACGATTTAACCACTAGGCTACCCCACCGCCCCTGTCATAAACAGACCTCAATTGATTCTCTCTTGTATGAAGCGCCCAGTCGTCAAACCCGTAACAGAGGTGCGTGCCTTGGTCATTCCAGAAACCATTGTGGGTGTGAATCCCGTTTCGCCCGATTTATGTTTCAATGTTTGTCAGCACCAAAGTTTTTCTGAGACCTGCATCAATTCGGGTTTTCCTCCCTCATAATGCTGCCACTGCTGTGGTGATGAAGTTCACAGCGGGATCAAACCAAACTTACTCACTCTCTTATAGGAGAAGAACTGAATGTGTGAAGTGTAATTTAATTTATCACTGCTTTAAACATGATGATTTCAGTTAGATCACGGTGTGTCAGCATAATATGGCAGGAAATGAAGGCAAATTTGTGATTTGAACCCAAACATCCGCGGATCCTCAAATAAAGGTACACAATTCTGTACAGCCTACTACGGCGCTCGGGTGGTCAGGATCGCTGACTTAATTAGTTGATGCATGTCATCGTATCCCAATTGCGTGGATTGATCCTTATGATATCAGTCACTGGGTTGTCTGGTCCAGACTCGATTATTTACATACTGCCACCATATAGCAAGACTATTGCTGATTGCGGCGTTTGACAACAAACAAACAAACAAACCAATAAACACACTTCATGATCAGTTTAGTCGGTTCTGACGACCAGTATAAGGTGTCGGGGGACCTATTCGAACCGGTAATCCTCACGTGGTCACTCAAATCTCTCAAGTTTGACATGTTTTCAAGTATTACTAACTGTGATAGGTAAACAGACACTTAAAAAACTATTAGAAATGGAAGCAGAAAAAGTGATCACATACCATGAAATCATCTCACATGAACACGTTTTAGGCTAACGGCTGATAGTTCAACACGCAAATGCACATCACATTTCAACACAACGTAGAAAGAGAAATCGCAGATGAGGAAACAATAAACTATTCGTGAAAAGGAAACACATCGGGAAACTAGTTGCAACATGACTGTCCACATATGTCTCAGCATAAGGGTTCAGTCAAGAGATTGGAGAAGAAATATGTTCACATGACTCGATATGCTGGAAGGTTACAAACCTGTAGATGAAAAACGCCGCGACCAGCACGATGAGAATTATAGAGCCCAAGACGATAATCACGATGCCATATTCCGGAAAAGGTTCTGAAAGAACAAAACATGAATATAACCGATGTCAAACCATTGAAGCAAAGTCTGAAACAAAAACACCTGGAATTCACGAGACTGAAGATTAGTGACTTCCGAACCATAATGAAAAAAGCATAATTCTGAAACCCATACGACTGAAAATTTGAAAACTAAATATCAACTGAAACAAATTTACATGACATTGACTGGTATCATATATGATGCACTGACGGTAGATTGTGTAAATTGTTGTATTAACATACATCACATGGATATTTTATAGATAGAGGAAATCGTATGTTGTTACTGACTCAAAGTATTAATCCCTCCCCAATAAACGTCATGGTGACATACAATAACCAATGTCACATTTGTATTCAGATTATATTGTATCCTCTCTATGAACGTTGTATGAGACGCATTGACTAAATACATAACAGTAAACTACGTTAAAGTTTATAACGAACACGCTTATAACGAACTGACGGATATAACGAAATGTGTTTTGATCCCGTCCATTTGCCGTATATTTGCTGTATATATGCTTATGACGAACTACGGTTAAAACGAACAAAAATTAGTGGCCCCTTTGAGTTCGTTATAACCGTAGTTTACTGTACATAAAATGAAAATTTGATGGTGGTATGATTTAATTTCTGATCATTTCACAAATAATCTGTAAATGATTTGCATTTCTTGTATCGATTGGAATATGTTAACTTCAAGGGATATCCTAAACATCTGGTACACGTTTCTATAATCTAAGCACTCAGTATTAAATCACAATATGCACTAAAATCGACGGATGGATCTATCATACCGTTTCATCTCGTGCATTTCGTGATCCGCTCCATGCCAAGCCATATGTTGGATTAAAGATACGGAGAATATAATACATTTCCATGAATCAACCCTTCCCGCCAAATCCCAATAACCAAAGGCCATGAGTAAAATGACAGAAAATAAGCGGATGCACTTTACACTCTGAGCGAAATTCCGCAGAACAGACCAATTCCTTCCATTTATATTAAGCTTCAGGATGGAATGCTTGTACTTATTCTGGTTGATAGCCAAAAGGAGGTCTGTCTTATGAGAGGGCCTTTTAGGATCACCTTACAATTCTAAGCTACAAGGTGTGTGGCGGTTTTCATTCCTATTAAGGAAAAAAGGTTACGGATTATTTGAAGGTATATTGCTGATGTAGTTTGTTCTTTCAAATAAAATCCGATTTCCTGTATTCAGTGTGAGGGTTTAAAGTTAATTAACGCGGTGCTTGACAAATGTGTCTGCAGCGTAGACATTCTGGATTTTCTCAGTTAATGTAGCATTGCGTACTAAGTCTTTGAAATAAAAAACGCGTAGGGTTTAATGAGATAGTTTTATGTATTCTTATATTGCCTAGGAAGTAATTACTTTCATATTAATTTTTTCTTAAAGAAAAACACAACCGCCATCATGGTGGCATAGTTCACAAATCAGGCGAAGTTGGTCGCTGAGTGTAGTAGATAGGGCGACTGTGTTCGGCAGCTTGACATCTGAGAGATTCTATGGCATCGTTCCTCCTCAACACTGAAAGCCATGCTACATGTGGTGTCTCCAAAGTCACGTGACTTTGTTCCAAATATGCCTGAGTGGTACCCAGTAATGTTTGTTTGCTTGTTGTTTAATGCCACACTAAGTAATATTCCGGATATATGACGGCGGTCTGTTAATAATCGAATCTGGACCATACAATCCAGTGACTGATATCATGAACATTCCACGCAAATGGGATACAATGACGCGAATCACTCACGTCAGCGAGCCTGACCACCCGAACCGTTAGTCGCCTCATACGACAAGCTTAGTCGCCTGTTACGATAAGCATAAGTTGCTGAAGACCTATTCTAATCCGGATATACACAGGCCGGTACCCACTCATAAGTAATGAGTACTCGGGAGGATGAGAAGGTAATGGAACGTCTTTTAGCATCTCATATGCAGTTTGGGTTGTAAACTCCCAAGGAAGCTGACAGCGAAAATCAGAGTACATAAAAAAATCGACCATACAGGTATAATATTTCCAACCGTTGAAAATTGCTAGTTTCAAAACATTTAAATCCGTAAAGTCACTTACAAATCAATGGCACACAGCACGCAGAGCGAAGGCCAAAGCTCTCATGAAAAACGCCTTGTCCCCTACCGTAGCCAAATCTGAATTATCGTTGGCACGAAAGGGTTGGAACGGAAAAAAAAGATTTGAAGATTCAATAGGATATGAACTTGTCGTTAAAATTCGAATTCCGATTTTTGATTAAACCGAATGACTTCACCATTTGATTACACTAAGCCATGGGTTGAAGTGGAAGGCTTAAGATAATTTTCAAATCTTTTGATTTAATATCCTCAATGAACAAAGAGGTTCCTCGTCCAGGTACTTCGACCAATGCTCATCAAAGACATCTTAAAGCAATGGATAAATATTAATCCCATTTCGTATTTGCATTCCAGGGACAATATTTCGAGTGCAGACCTTTCGTAATTCTTTAGTCCCCTCGTAAGGCAATTCAAACATGGACCATGTATTAACTGTCATTTGGTCAGGGAATGAAGTTCAATACCAGCAACCTCACCTTTGCTTGCGGTTTAAACATCAATAAAAGAGAACAGTTTTATGAACAAACATTGATTTGTTATCATGCTACAGATTTTGGGATTAGTGTTTTCAAGTATCACATGTTGGGTTTCCGGATAAGCAAAGCATGAACTTGTTCTCAGTTAGAAGTTATACTTCTTGAATTAGTAACGCTTTTGAACAAGTAGAATAATATTGCCATTAACAAGAATAACATATGAGTTCAATAACGTAAGTTCTGAAGCACTAGGTTTTACGAGGGTTAACGTTTTCTGCATCATAATTGCCTGCCTAGTTGAGTATGATTACTTCAGAAACAGTGCAAGTTTTATTTGGAATGTGAAACATATTCTCAACATTTTCAAAATACTGTTTTTTTTGGACCAGTTATGTTTACACAAAATGATACAAGATGAAAGATATGGCTTACCACTATCATATTTGATTTTCACAAGAACATATCTAATAAACCCCAAAGTTTGTCATTTATATGAAAACTACTGACAAAATATGAATAAACTAACAATGCCCTTTAATTCTTAACAATACCTTGTCGAGAAGAAAGTAATAATGTCGTTATGTACGGGACGTGGCCCTGTTCAAATGGCGTCTTAGTGCTTGAAACTGTCCGACTTTGGGTGTTAAATTGCCTCCAAGGAAATTAACCTTTCTTCGAGTTCACACAATCACGTGTAACATTGTAGGAAAATCTATATCTGATCCAACTAACGTTTAGATGTGTGGACATGATTTATTCTTTGAAAAAACCCCCACTTCATTCGAAACATACATGTATGCACAGAACACCGCATCTGTAAAACTTCATCGTATTCAAGTTTTTTCAAGAGCAGCATCTAAATGTATGAGATAAACCGTTTTTTCAGAACCTTCAATAACAACCACATGGCGATAACGTGCTTATAAATCCGTTTGTCAATATGCCAAGGGGTGTATTTCAAGAACAAATTAAAACGAGCTCCGGCGGTATTCGGGGATAACTTCTTTATCGGATGGTGTTTTTTAAAGTTTACAAGTGGTTGAAGCAATATTGTCCTGGAAGAACGTAAGTCACCATACTAGCCATTCTTTATGGCGAAAAAAAGAGAAAATTGAGTTTGTGAAAGAAAACTTATTTTCTTTGTCCGATTGGTGTAATATTTGTGGACATCATGCAACTATGCAGAGTTCTCCTTGGGAAATGGTTCACGTAGGGATCGTGTTTCTCGTCCACAACAATTTTTAAATGGCAACATATATTGAGGTAAGCATCGGTTTGTAGCCTTGGCAGGTTGTTTGTTCAGCAGTTTTGTAAGTCTCATGGATACATACTTTTATATGTTATTGTTTCAAAGGCACAAACAACCACTAGTTACGTTACATGTCCATCTAACTGTACATACTGACACCATACATCTTCCAAAATAGCTTTTCTGGAGTGCCAAACATTCCAACCAGAGCTAAAAGATATGTATTTGAAGAAAAGTTGTACTTCCTAATGGTAAATCTAACCAATCCCAGTACATACCACACATGCCAGTACATTCCACCAACCTCAGTACACCTTACCCACCTCAGTACACCATATCCTCCTCAGTACACCTTACCAACCTCAGTACAGTACACTTTACCTACCTCAGTACACCATACCCTCCTCAGTACACCTTACCCACCTCAGTACACCTTACCCTCCTCAGTACACCTTACCCACCTCAGTACACCTTACCCTCCTCAGTACACCATACCCTCCTCAGTACACCTTACCCTCCTCAGTACACCTTACCCACCTCAGCACACCTTACCCACCTCAGTACACCTTACCCACCTCAGTACACCTTACCCACCTCAGTACACCTTACCTACCTCAGTACAACTTACACACCACAAAACACCTTACCCTCCTCAGTGTACCTTACCCTCCTCAGTGCACCTTACCCACCTCAGTACACCTTACCCACCTCAGTACACCTTACCCACCTCAGTACACCGTACCCACCTCAGTACACCATACCCTCCTCAGTACACCTTACCCACCTCAGTACACCTTACCCACCTCAGTACACCTTACCCACCTCAGTACACCTTACCCTCCTCAGTGCACCTTACCCACCTCAGTACACCTTACCCACCACAGAACACTTTACCCACCACAGAACACTTTACCTACCTCAGTACACCTTACCCACCACAGAACACTTTACCCACCACAGAACACTTTACCCACCACAGAACACTTTACCCACCACAGAACACTTTACCCACCTCAGTACACCTTACCCACCACAGAACACTTTACCCACCACAGAACACTTTACCCACCTCAGTACACCTTACCCACCACAGAACACTTTACCCACCACAGAACACTTTACCCATCTCAGTACACCTTACCCACCACAGAACACTTTACCCACCACAGAACACTTTACCCACCACAGAACACTTTACCCAACACGGAACACTTTACCCACCACAGTGCACCTTACCCACCACAGAACACTTTACCCACCACAGAACACTTTACCCAATAGGAGGCATCAGTGGTGTAGGGAACGTCAATAATCGACGTATTATATCGTGAACAAAACACTTAGTGTATGACATCGACTATATATGCGTCCATATCATGTAAATCCGCGATTTAATGCACAATATTATTAAGTAAAACGTGTTTGTGTCCGCTCTGTGGCTTCTTAAACTGTCATAACGTATTTTTATATATTCGAAATACGAAAAGTAATGTCCTTTTCAGTCACTGTCATTATGATACATACCGGATCCTTATTTAGTATTCCCACAATGCAAATTTAACGTTTAAAACATGAGTAATCATGTGTGGGGTTTCAAGGCTAGAAATGTGTCGATGTCGTGAATTCATATCATCTCCTAAATTCACATGGGACTTGTCTACGCCTGAAGAAGTTGTTAGGAAAATGCAATTCTTCTTTGAGGAGATTTTGTCACTTCAGATTTTACAAAACCCTAAACCGTGTCTGTTTAACCTTTATTTCATACTTCTAAAGCTTTTGCCGGCTGATACAGTGTAGGTGAGTCTACAAAAAGCAAGAGCCAAAAGATCGCCTAGAGGGCCAAACCAGAAAAAGACTTACAAATCTGAAAATAGGACTGCGTGTTGCTGTATGTTGAATTTGCAAACTAGAGGATCGATGTTATAATCAATCTGAGACAAACAGCATTTTTGCTACAAGTCCCACAATATTTCAAATTTAAGGAACCACCAATGGTTTCATTTTCCTATGAAGAAGCCATTTCATCAAAGCTGTTCAATTATAGGAACGTGTTGCAGAACGTGGACTTGGCAGCTCTTGATGTCAACTCTGCTACACGGGGCTGCGAAGATTCATCATACTGCAACGAACCTGTTGGTCATATAATCACAGTTGAGGTCTCTATTGTTGACAATAACACCCTCCGTCGGTTGTTCAAAAATGGCCCCAAAGATCGTGAACAGCCTGCTTCCAATTTGGTTTACACCTTTATAATCATTATGGATGCTGTCGAAGCGTATGCCTAACAATAGGCTAAGTGGGAAGATGAAACTGTTGAATGTCTTTCCGTGTGGTGTTGTCATTAATAGAATACAGTACTACTTAAAAGAAGAAACAGAATTGGAATAAACCCATTCTGTCCCAGCCAGTTCTCATCTCAAGTCTGGAGAGCCTACATTAAAAGTTTGTAGTTGTTCCTTCTGACAAGTCCTAAAATGACAAAACCATTATATTTAAGTATCACCATATTAATTGTTCGTTTAAAGAACGTAATATAAGTGGCATATCAAATAATGCCACACATGAGTCCAGTATGTTAACTGAGGAAGAAATCAACCTTTGGCTTGACTCTGAGACATGTCCATTCCTGTAGTACTGGATTCCAAAGTTACATAAAAAACTTAGACTAAAATCTTGTCTCCGAAAAAAACCCATATTTTACTGAAAAAACCCAGTTGTTTAATTATCTTAATAAAATATAATAAAAAGGAGCCAAGAGACTCTCCTTATTACCTGAAATTTTGTAATCTAGACTTGACCACAATTATAGACTCGCATGGGCTTAATTGGATGTATTCGTTTCAGGGTCTGTACGGTAGACTAAACATCCGCACAACGAGAGATACATTGAGGAGTTCAGCAAATGAACCACCAAATCCCTTTCTCAAAGATTAACCATATTCCCTCATACAACGAAGGAACGACTTTCGTTATAGTCACAAAATATTTGAAACAAGAGGAATTAAAACCATTTCGAAAACGCATAGGATTTGCTTGATTTTTGCATTAGTGGGTATACACATGAACTCTAGAAAGCCCCTTACCGGAAATGGGAGACACGTGAAGCAACTTAGCAAAAGTTAGCTTTTAGAGTCCTCCTTTAAGACAGAAACAAACACATACGACAACGTCAACTCACCATCTGGGGGACATTTTGAACCATCAAAGCCGCAATCAGGGGTGTCCGGAGGGGGACTGTTTCTACCCCCTGCCCAGTGAATGGTCTTGTGCTCAACAGGCTCGTACTGCTTTTTGTTGCCATAGTAATTTGCCACAACCTGAGAACACATAAACAGTGACATGGGTATGTGAGTGAAGTAGCGAATGTTGTTCAGCGTCACAGTTTTGTTTCTTGTTTTACGCCGCGCTCAGCAATATACCAGATATATGACGGCGGTCTGTAAATAATCCAGTGATTGACATCATGAAGATCGATCCACGCAATTGGGATCGATGATCTGCATCAACCAAGTCATCAACCAGCCTGACCACCCGATCCCGTTAGTCGCCTCTTACAACAATCATAGTCGCCTTTTACGGCAGCATGGGTTGCTGAAGGCCTATTCTACCCCGGATTTTCACGGGTCTCAACGTCACAGTGAACTGACTGCGAGGTACAATGACACGTCCCGCATTATATTTTTACTTCACGATCATCATGGTTTTGTTCATGCGGAAGCATTGGGTCCGTGAGAATAAACATAAACGAGTGATAGCTCTTGCGAAATGACTGAGACCTGTCGCTTTGATCATATGTCAGCAAGTTCACAATGGAACACAACAATAATCGCTTCCACACATTGTAATAATGTATATATCAAAGGTTTTCCACATGACAAGCTAGCGCTTTAATCACAAGAAGCCTAAGATATATATGTATGTATATGGGAATGGTCAGATTGTTTTCTGGTATATATATCCTTTGGGTGGAAATACCTATCACAAAGTGTATACATTTATGTGTACATGAAACATTACGTACCTCAAACGTGTCAGTCTCAGGGTTCAGATCGAGCAGGGAATAATCAGCGTTTCGGTCGCCATTCTGATCTATACTGACGGTACCGGTTATACCTGTGAAGTAATAAAAATATCCTTAATAATATCATTGTTTTTTTACACGTACATTTTATACATATGATATATATAACAGAAAGCATAAGTTAATGTCGAACAAGGAGGTTGTGGGTCTCAATTTTTCCACCGTTAAAGTGGGACTGTGCTCTGTGGTCTAAAGACAACTTCCAGCCTACAAGTAAGACTTGCTTTGTGTAATAAATTGAATATTAACTATTTCGATTAATATCATACTATGGGGTAACCGGATAGAGATGATTGCTTGATCTGCCAATTTGGCTGAGAACCTTGCGTCTCTATAACTGAACATAATTTAAATTTTATTTTAAACTTCGTTTGGAAAGATGATCATTTTGAAGATCATCTTAACGCTATCAACACGCCAGGTGTCAATATAGGTAGGTGAAGGAAACAAGTCATGTTTTATGTATATCCATTAACGATTTTCACATTACAATTTGCCCCGGTAACATTTCTAATTCTTAACATGATTCTTACTTTACAAAACCTTTAACATACAACATGGAAATGTTCTCCTCGAAACATTCGAGTACCGGGCTACCGGGATCTAATATATTTTGATTGAAATCATTTGTCTGGATACACCACATGCAGGCATTTGGAAATTCCAGAAATGGCATACCGTCGTGTTTAGTATTGTAACTATAGGCAACAAGGCCCTTTCCATGGTCATAAGCAATCTCGTCCATTGTATGATTCCGGCTACCAGCATAGTATATGATGATTATGAATCACTATCAAATAGTTATAATACCATCAATCAATAGAAGAAACGCCAACAGTGCGATCTTTTGCATTCAGTTTGCCCTGTTTGCAAACAGCATGTCTGAGCAGTGGTAATACACATGCACGACTGCTGCTGGTTGAGGTACCCCAAGAGTGAACTGATGCCGCATAAACGTCATCGTCCATTTTAGTCATACTAGTGCGTGTCTCTTATGCACCGAGGATGCCATGTATACATTTGGACTGATAATTATTAGATGCATAACTGCAATCGGTGGCGGGTATCCCTTGCGTAATTGCCATCAAGTACGCACTACTCCATCCCAAATATACAAATACAGCAAAATGCAAAAATTCATTTTCAGTGTAGTGGTTTCCTCTAAGTTGTGTTTGTATGTTTGTTTGTTGTTTAACGCCGCACTCAGCAATATTCCAAATATATGACGACGGTCTGCAAATAATCGAGTCTTGACCAGACAATCCAGTTCTTGATATCATGAGCATCGATCTACGCAATTGGGATATGATGACATGCATCAACCAAGTCAGCGAGCCTCATCAGCCGATCCAGTTAGTCGCCACTTACGACAAGCCTAGTCGCCAGTTAAACGACAGGCATAGGTTGATCTTTACGGGTAAGTTTCCTCCAAGGAGACAAACTGACAAAGGAGTCTTTCTTTGTAGGGTATGTCATTGTATATTCTAGACTTTACAGAAAATACAGTTGCTTCATCTAAAGCATAATAAAATCCGCCTTTACGGCATAAAAAGTATTTAAATAAGCTTCAATATTTGAAAGGGATTTGAATTGTTTATAAGAACATGAATTTGGTCAAAAAGTGTGTGTTCGAATATAGATTTATACATACGATCCCGAATCCAAATTTGAAAAGAGTATTGTTAACGTGGGCGTCCAAGGTTGCCCGAATAGGATCACCCAATGCAGTTAACACCTTGTAGCACAGGCATGGAGGCGACACTTTTGTAATTTAGTTAACACACAAGTTAAATTGTAATGATGACATGTTGCGTCGATTTCTCCATCTTGATGAGTTTACGTTGAGCCTTTGATTCAGCAACAGGATAAAGTAACAGGGTATATTACTACGCTCAGAGCGATTAAACGCGTTCCTCTGCATAGATGTCTGAGGGATGTCAAATGGCAGCTGTGACGGAAAGAGTAATACTATATATCATGTCGTGTAAGTGTTCGTTCGTCTATTAATTTTAGGGGCGGTCGGGTAGCCTAATGGTTAAAGCGTTCGCTCGTCACGCCGAAGACCCGGGTTCGATTCCCGACCTGGGTACAATGTGTGAAGCCCATTTCTGGTGTCCCCCGCCGTGATATTGCGGGAATATTGCTAAAAGCGGCGTAAAACCATACTCACTCACTCACTCGATTAATTTTTAACAAATGCTTTATAAATATATACCTAAAAGATTTGTATCAATGCATGGCAGTGTCATTACCCGAGTAATGGATCAACGAATCGATGGTTTATTTTGAAGATATGAACAAAATATGAAATATCCGCACAAATGTTGTTCATAAACATATAATGAAAAACGCAAATTCCAGAGAATAATCAATCTAGATTATGTACCGAAAGATTCCTTTGGGAGCAAAAGACAAAAATGTGGTGAAAATTATTGGAGTGGATTTCTGAAAATCAGTAATGACACCAGGTGTCTTGTGAAAAGGGTATGCGAATGTAAATGTATGAAATGCGAATAACGTTTACATGTGTGATAAGAATCCAGGTTGTAACTAAATAGATAATGGACACCGGAAAACACAGTTTCTATTTTTAATTCCATAACAAATTAGGTTACAATGCATTTCACCTCAACATAAAAGCAGCACCGGCGATTATATTCGCATATGCTGCCACTTCTCGATCAGCTAACGATGATGTCATTATAGTTAGCATTTTTGTCGAAAAGTTGAAAAGTGCTCAAGGGGCTTAATCAGAATGAATTGTTTTATGTTAGTACCAAGTAGTGAATGTTCATGTCAACGCAATATTGACAGACAAGTCTATTCCATTCCTATCTCCAATCATCATTTCAAAAGAACAGAATTCCGGCAATACCTTTACTGGTTTTGAAACCAATATCTCATATGATGCCAACACAGCATAATTCTTGCATTACACAAATCACCAGAGAGAAAGCGATATGTTCATATCCATTTCAATTCTCTTCTGACATTTGCGTTAATAACATTGGGAACAGCACGTGGTGTTCTTATAAATGTAGGTAATTGCGAAATATGCGTCCCTGGTAATATCATTATTATATATATTTACATAAACCACATGTGAGTGAGTGAGTGAGGTTTAACGCCGCTTTTAGCACTATTCCAGCAATATCACGGCGGGGGACACCAGAAATGGGCTTCACACATTGTACCCATGTCGGGAATCGAACCCGGGTCTTCGGCGTGACGAGCGAACGCCCTAACCACTAGGCTACCCGACCGCCCCTAAACCATACGTAGTAGGCCCACATACATTTTGAGAAAGGCCTTACTTGATTTTGTTAAGTATGTGGCCAACTTGCAACTATGGAAGACATTCACCAACATGTCGGGGATATATCAGTAGAGATCCATATAATAGAAACATTTGGCCTTTTTGAAACATGAAAAGAACATCCTTCTATCACCGACTGTTTGTGTTCATTCCTCTTTCCTCTATAGAGTCAATGTAATGAGTAAAACATGCACATTCATCTAGAGGACATTGTGTGATAAGAGCACGATTTGATCCACTAGAAATGCTCAATATAAATTATTTTTTGCCTTTTCAAAATATTCAAAAGTTTAAAAAAATGTCAATTAAAAAAGCTACAATAAAAAACTATGCGATTGTGACACACATAATTCTCGCATATCTTCAGGGAATTCGGCACACGAAAACGCCCAATGGCTATCAAAACAATTAATAATTTTGCTTAGTTTTGAAAGTTTGAAATCTTCGGACAAAATGAACCTTTCATGCTGTGAAAAACTCAAACCTAGCCAGAGAGTCGCGACTTAAGTGTCAAATGTAACAAAACATCCACCACTTACACGGTCATTGCAATAATTGCGGTTAAAATATTCGGGCGATTAATACGTCACACGACATTTATCCATATATACATTGACAGGATTGACACGCACAACACTGAATAATTTGGGAACCTTATCACATCGTAAATCATCCTTGCAGCATATGTATGAGGCGAACAGGGCAAATTGTGTCACCCGAATGGTCAGGCTGATTGGTATACTGTAGCATTTAGTTTCCTTAATTGTTCCTGCGGGAATTGGCTAGTGATAAACTGTTTGTTGTGTCAAAGCCCCAAATGCATGTACGCTGACAAAAACAGGTTTTCCTTGGTGCAAATAAATATATGTACGATCTTTTGATTTATTTTAGCAATATTTATTTCGAATGGGCATCCATAAGGCAACAGTAAACACTGGTCCCTCTATCTGAATAATCCTTTCCTACTTAACACGCATTGAATACCATGACTATTGTACGGAAGAGTGGTTCTGTTTGGAGTTGTTTTATCCTCTGGTTTGCTCTCTGGTTCTCTAATGAATTCTGATAAGCGATTATGAAGATCCTGTTAAATCCTTTTTCGCTTTCCTTTTATTTGAGGTTTTGTTTGTTTTCTGTTCAGCGCCGCATTCAGCAATATTCCAGCTGTATGAAGGCAGCCTGCAGATAATCGAATCTGAACCATATAATCAAGTAACTGATATCATGAACATTAGACACAATTGGTTTTGGACCAGATAATCCAGTGATCAATATTGTGAGCAATTATCCACCCCGTCGGGGTACGTTGACACGCCATCTACAAAATCACCGAGCCCGACTACCCACACTATTTGGTTGCCTCTTATGACAAGCATAGGTTTCTAGTGACCTATTCGAATTCACGGGGTTTATTTGAGGTATGCTTCATACTTTTAACTGCGTTAATAATTATTGTTTCATGACATATTCACTCCGCGGTATATTCAATGTTAACACTAACATGTTCAAGAGACATTTCTCATATTTTTTTAAGAAGTATAAATTTAAGTAAACTTATAAGCCGTTTTATTTAAGGACATAATAAATTGATTTATATCATTAAAAGACCAACAAACACTAAATTAAATTATCAATTAATTTTAATTATCGAAAATTCATCAAAGAAGCACTTGCAATTAACAACCGAGTGAATAAATCGAAAGGAAAGAAAAGTAAGTTTCTTCAGCAGAAAAATATGTTAAAACCTTTTGACAGTTATTCTGATCAAATAGCGTGAAAATAGCTAATTGTGTGTAAACTTTTAACGGAGATATAATCACACACGCTTGAAAATCGATTCGTTTACAGCGTATGCAAATACACCGTGAAATCTTAATTCTAAGAGACAGGTCTTCGCATTCCGACAAAGCGCGTATTTTCAATCGCAATATGTCGCTGTCTAAATCGACTTTCGTTCACTGAATACTTCCACTAAAAGCTTGCTTAAACCCCTGTGAAATTTGGTTGTAGGTCACGACCTCTCCATCTTAAATGTCCATAAAACACCCACGAAAAGATTGAAAACGTTCAACTAGCGAATAGTTTTCAGACAGAACACTTGCACATAACACTTATATGACTCATCCTAGTATAGGGGTGTGTGTTGGGGTGGGGTAGCCTAGTGGTCAATCCGTTGGCTCGTTACACCGAAGGAGCGAGTTCGATTTCCAACATGGACACAATGTATTAAGACCATTTCTAGTTTCCTCTTCGTGATAATGCTGGAATATTGCTAAAAATGACGTAAAAAAACTCACTCGCCCACACATCCTTGTACGTTAACACGATGAGACCAAGACATTTGTACCGTACAATATGAGCTAAATAATTCTCGGTCAGCAATTAACGAGTGAGTGAGTGAGTGAGTGAGTGAATCTTTAAAGTGAGTGAGCAATAATGTCAAACCGACGGGGAACAAACACGCATTCATTCATATATATAAACGATGTTATGTTAGGAAATTTAACTTGAAATGAGGACAAAGGGAGAGTGGAAGGAGTGAGTGAATGTTGTTTTAAACCGTTGTCATTAATATTCCAGCTACGACGAAAGCTCGCCAATCCGGACGAGGTCGTTTCAGTAAAATCGAACCCTTTTCTACACCAGTACACGGAACGTTCCCACTTGAAAGTGTCCATACGATGAGGCTGCCTGACTACCGCGGTTTCAGTGTATACCATGCTGCAATATTAGTCGGCATGTCTAAATGTAATCTGAACACACGAGATAATGCTAAATCAGCAGGATACGAAAATTAGCATAATGCTTTTTTTGAAAATGCTATGCTTATTTAAAATTCGATAATTCCAGCATTCATTCCTGCAATCAAAAACAATTACATGATAATTACGTGCAAAAATCTGTTTTTGTCCAGACACAAATATACAAAAGGATCACGCATGTTATTAGATATGATTAACGTGGCATAAAGTAGATTCGGTGAGATGTAAATGTTTTAATTCAGATAACCTTACATATGTCAATGTAATTAACTGAATCGCTTAACGAAAACATTAATGAAGGCTTGCATTGTAATGATGGTTATTGCGCGTTCTAGATCATTAGAGGTATTTTTCGCTCTCTAGATCAAAAAAATATTGCCTTCTCGATGCATTTTGTCTAATCCCATATCAGGCGGATTTAAGGAAATCGTGCATCACGGTGAAGGAATTCCAGTAACTCGACAGAAATGCTCAAACCAGTGAAATATCAATCTCACTTAACTCTCCGATGGTTCCTAGCAACAGAAGCATATTGACGAATGGGCATCAGGTTTTAGACGCGCTTGCCTCCCTGGTTCAAAAATGATACTAATCATGTAATACCTGATCTGGACGGAAACTGGTCGTTTAAGGAATTTCCTTCGAGACAAAATGTTGAAGGATTGACACATCATATTGACTGCGCCTTTCGGTTGTGAAACAGAATCTATATTCAGTATGAAAAGTCACACATTCGATCACAAATGAGGTTCGAAATAAAACATCGTAAGGTTGCATGGAAAATACCCATGGCAGCTCAAACTCATCCAAAGTTAAGTTAGACGTTGTCCTTGTTTATACACACAGCTGTTTTTGGAAGCAACAAAGATATATTTGAATTCTGTGAATTAAAAAAAAGGCAAATTAGTTTCGTTTACGAACACTGCATCATCAAGTCTGGTTTATGTTGACATGTAGTGATAGAGAAGGTTTTTTTTATCTTTCTGAAAGCAGGATTTGAGGCTTGTTGAGAATACAAGCACCCGATCTCTCCGGGGATCACGAAACCTGCTCAATTAGGTTCAACGGCAAAGATCAAAGGCATATTTCTAGTTTTAAAAGTTGCGAAGCAAACACAACAAGAAAAAGCAAAACAAATTAGCACACACGAAAAATTAAAAACGGGTCAGGGAAAAGATTCACATATACTTCACACTATGTTATGCTGGAGTCCAGTGCGGACCTGTGATTAGTAGCGGTATGGTTGTGATAATGAGTTATGATTATGGGTTTTCAAGTTAAGGTTGTGACCATGGGGTTTCAAGTTAAGGTTGTGGTCATGGGGTTTCAAGTTAAGGTTGTGGTTATGGGGTTTCAAGTTAAGGTTGTGGTCATGGGGTTTCAAGTTAAGGTTGTGACCATGGGGTTTCAAGTTAAGGTTGTGACCATTGGGTTTGAAGTTAAGGTTGTGGTCATGGGGTTTGAAGTTAAGGTTGTGGTCATGGGGTTTGAAGTTAAGGTTGTGGTCATGGGGTTTGAAGTTAAGGTTGTGGTCATGGGGTTTGAAGTTAAGGTTGTGGTCATGGGGTTTCAAGTTAAGGTTGTGGTCATGGGGTTTCAAGTTAAGGTTGTGACCATGGGGTTTCAAGTTAAGGTTGTGACCATGGGGTTTCAAGTTAAGGTTGTGGTCATGGGGTTTCAAGTTAAGGTTGTGGTCATGGGGTTTCAAGTTAAGGTTGTGGTCATGGGGTTTCAAGTTAAGGTTGTGGTTATGGGGTTTCAAGTTAAGGTTGTGGTCATGGGGTTTCAAGTTAAGGTTGTGGTCATGGGGTTTCAAGTTAAGGTTATGACCATGGGGTTTCAAGTTAAGGTTGTGACCATTGGGTTTCAAGTTAAGGTTGTGGTCATGGGGTTTCAAGTTAAGGTTGTGGTCATGGGGTTTCAAGTTAAGGTTGTGGTCATGGGGTTTCAAGTTAAGGTTGTGGTCATCGGGTTTCAAGTTAAGGTTGTGACCATGGGGTTTCAAGTTAAGGTTGTGGTCATGGGGTTTCAAGTTAAGGTTGAGGTCACGGGGTTTATGGATATGGGGTTTATTTTGACTTGTACCGTGCGGGGTTTTTTTTCAGGTAAACATTTGACTTGCCTTTGAATGTGTTCGCAATGAGTGCTACCGTTAGGGCAGGATACTCTCACCATTTCGGCAATACGTGGTATCATCACAAATTGATAGTCGTGCATGTGTATTATCACGACTGTATTGGAAACTGTGCAACCAGAATGCAATAAATGACGCTGCTGGCGTTTCTTCTTTTGATTGACGGTATCATCACTATTTGATGATATGTCATGATATAGCCATGACAAATTCGGAATCGTACAATGGACTCTCTTAGCAAGGTTTTTATTGTTATGGAAATGGTTTTGTTGTTTTTACTTAGTGCTAGAGCAGGGTAGAGCTTTATGAAACATATATATGTGGAGTCGTTAGGTTTTTATGCTTTTAACTATGGTCAGTAATTGAGTTTGGTTTTACCTAGGTCGCATTGATACAGGAAGAAAGTCTTAACACAGGAAGAAAGTCCGAAGTGATGCTGGTCTCAGAGGATTACCACCTTGATGACACCCACAATCAGTCGTATGGTGCTTACAAGTGTGGGGGACAGCACATGTATTCTGACCCAGTGTCCCATATATTTTATGTTCAGAATAGGTGAGGTGAGGTGAAATGGGGTTTAACGTCGCGTCCAAGATTATTGAACTTATATAGCGACGTGCATGCACGTGTGTGTGTTTGTGTGGCTGCTTGTACTAGTCCGGACTGATGCCGATTTATAGTGCTAGCTCACTGAGATACCATGTCGCAGTTTAACCTGAATACCCCACTCAGACACCGTATACTGACTCCGAGCCGACCAGTCCTTGTTTAAGCCCCTTTAATGCCGAGCGCCAGACAGGGTAACAACAACTACCATCTTTTACCGTCTTTTGGTATGACGCGGCCGGGGATCGAACCCCGGACCTTCCGCTCTCCGGGCGGACGCTCTACCACAAGACCACGGAGGCGGTTGTTCAGAATAGACCCAGTAGGGAAGCCTGATGGAGGTGAAGCTGTTCTTTGCCAATCTTTTTCATTGGGTACACAACCCTAACGTATCTGTTATAGGTATAAAATGCATGTCTGCAATGCGGGTTTCTTCCAGTTTGCTATCTAAAAGAATCACGGAAAGTACTTTACCTTCAAATGTTCGATTCCACATTCGTTTGGTGATTTCCGTACCATTAGTTATAGAAATGTTCGCCGCCAGGGTTTCATTCAGTGCCAGAGCATACAGGATGACAGCGTCGTGGAATGCCCCCACAAAGCTGTTGACCTGAAAACACATTAACAGCTCATAAAATTGAATTCCGTATCAAATAAATTCTACCTGAGAGGTTTAAAATGACAACGGTAGTCGATAAAGCAACCGAAGCCATGGAAACATCCGATCGGTGTCTCCTTATAACCAATCCATCAATGCAATTACCATGAGTTTATTTGCCGTCTTTATAAATTGTGTATTTGTACTCTATTCCCACAAAAAAGGCACTGGTAATTTGCCTTGTAACGCTAAGGTGGTCAATATATCTGGACCCCGTAACTGCAGCATGAAATGAGGGTTTTGCTTAATGGCGTTTTGGGTGTGAGTGAATGAGTATGGTTTTACGCTACCTTCCGCAATATTAAAGCAATATCATGGCGGGTGTTGAAACAACAATTCAGTTATATCACGGCGTGTCAGTTCAGTGAGGCTGTGGTCGTGGTCGTTCGACAAAACCCACGAGTACGGATCTGACAACAGATGGTTATTATTGAGAATATTCTGTGGTTTGAATCCATGGTTCCAGATCCTGACACGCCTAAGGGAAACAACCATGGACAGCGAGTTGCGGCGCCTTAGAACACCTGATCACCTGTGTCCACATTTCGACGAAGAACGGAATCAATATAAACAGTTACATTGACACAATGAATTCAGCCATAAACCATACATGAAAATAACATTCAAGCGAACCGTTACTTCGTAGAGTCTTATACATGTGGGGGCACGGGTGGCCCAGTCGTCTAAGGCGCCGCGATTCGCTGTGCAGAGTTGCGTCCCTTGGGCACGCCAGAAACCTATGATTGTGGGTTCGAATCCCGGTTCACCCCGATTATGTTTCTAGGTTTGTCAGCACCTTACCCGTGCTCGTGGGTTTCACCAAAGTGGTAAACGTCTGAGACCTGCATCACTTCGGGCTTTCCTCCCACATTAATCTGACACGCCGTGATATAACTGGAATACTGTTAAAAGCGGCGTTAAACCCAACTCACTCACTCACTTATACATGTATATAATTGCATGTATGTTAGTAGGACTTGAGAAAACGAGAAGAAGTTCAATCCTTGTAAGCACCAAAGGACGTTCATACCGTAAATAAAGATAATCGATGTTCGATACGATACGAGGCCCAATGAGCAAAGTTCAAATCGTAAGGTATTGGTGAGTCGAATGTATAGCATGACTCTATATTATCGCGGTATCGGTAAACTCTCGTAATCTACATTCCCTGTCGACTGTTTACTTATGCAAAACTAAGCACAATATTTTATCGCATGATCGAATACATGTATTTCGGTACGTATGTCACGGCTACTCGTAAGTACACACATATAACTTTTTTATGATCGTTTCTGGAATGTTTTTGAAGTGGAATTACCTCTACCTCCATTCAAAATTGGTTAGGAAAGAATCCACTTGTTTGGTTGGTTGTTTTTCGTTAGTTGTTTAACGCCGCACTCAGCAATATTCCAGCATAATGACGGCGGTCTGTAAATAATCGAGCCTGGACCAGACAATCCAGTGATTGATATCATGAGCATCGATCCACGCAATTGGGATCGATGACATGTATCAACCAAGTCGGCGAGCCTGACCACCCGATCCCGTTAGTCCCCTTTTACGACAAGCATAGTCGCCTTTTACGGCAAGCATGGGTTGCTGAAGACCCCGGAATCTTCACGGGTCCCACTTGTTTGGACGATGTCCTTTGACCCAACCTAGGTCGTATGAATACTGATTATGCATAATTCAAAACATGAAGTGATGTAAACCACATAATCCACACAAAATAGTGATACCGCGACAGTATAGAGTTGCCCGCCTTTGAGTCGCCAATGACAGGTACTATGTATACCGAACTCGGTAAAGAAAATCAGCATCGATCAATCCTAAGTGATGTGTCTTAATAGCTGAATAAAGAACAAGAAACATTTTGCAGTATGACAGTTTATGTGTTAGTAAACATTCGCCACTACGATCCATTCTAAATTAACTACCGCGATAACATAGCGTACCATGCTATTTTGACATGTAACTGAATGACGTACAATCGTATGTGTAACTAAATGAAATGTGGTTCGATATATCGATGTTCCAGTTCAGTACAAGTTCTAAACAACCCTTCACAAAACCAACCCACATCTGAAACTGAGACTGACCCAATTTTCTCGATGGAGTAATTACAATTTTCATTGACATAATCTGTTTTTCTCTAACTGTTCCTTAAAAGGTAATTGCTTCAATTACTTGCCAACACTGCTTGAAAATCAGTGTTACATTTTTATGCGAAGTATTTCGAGTTCCCTGTTGCAGAAAATGTTTTATTTGTCATCGATCAATACACAAAAAATACACATGAGATTGGAGTAATTTCAATTCATTTAGGTTTTTGTTTCGCTTCGATCCATTTCTTTTGTTATAAATGACCTCATTTCAGAGCAAAACCTTTACTTAACAAACCCACGGTCGACGAGAGGGCGCTTTCTCAACATCCAAAGTCCCGAACTAAGTTTCTTTTCGTTGTAAACTTCACAACTGTTATTATACTCGGATCGCCGTGGATGCAGCGATCGCATGCAGATATATTCAACATTGAAATACACTGAGAAACATCTCTGATCACTTCTCTTTATCGGGGAGTACGCGTACATTTGGTCCAGTAAACATAGATGCATCAACTCGTTATGCAAAACCCCTCACATGTGTATGTGCCAGCGTCCGCTCCTCACGACTTCACTATTTGATAGTGGTTCTTAATAGAGAACGTCAACGCTAAAGAATAACCAGTCTCAAAGCAGCGATGGCACCAGGAAAAGGGGTAAACATGTCCTGTCTTACCGCTAGCACCCGCCACACATGCTTATGATCTCGTCGGATTTGTAAAATGGACAGAAATTTCTTATGGTTGTGGACAGGGTTTGTAGCATTTTGTCGCTTTTTTATTTTCGAGTTAGAATTCCAGGTTTGTTACCATCATACCTGTGCTTGTGGATTTCATCGAAGAAATAAATATCAACGTCATGCATCAGTTACACCCACCTCCCTCAAATAGGTAACATATGGCCCACTGCTGGTGTCGATCCGACGTGACTCTGTTGCAATATTGCAAAAGGCGATGTAAAACCGAACTCACTCACTAACCACGGGACCCCCCAGCCCCTAGTTCAACAACACGAACAACGATAAAAATGTTGCTGAAGAAGAAGAGGAGAAAGAAGAAGAAGATGATGATACTGATGATGATGGTGATGATGGTGGTAGTGTTGACGGCATACTTCTAGATAAAATTTGTATATTACTGACGTAACAATACTCTCGAGCTCACCAGTTCAGTAACGCTGACATACGGCGACATATTAACGCGTTCTGAACAGTGTCCACAGACGTTAAATAACCCGAATCACACCGGTGATGGGCAGACGAAGACGGTGGTGTGATTAATTATTTAAGGCTACTGTCATTGCATTATTCTGAGCTTGTTTGTGAACGCTGTCTTATCAAACTAAGACCCTTTTAGACACAGTCCGTTGTAAGCACGCCCTTTCTTAAGCATGCATACTCACTCTGTAACATCACCGAAACACAGCAGTCTTCTTCTATTCCAATTAAACGACATATGCACTATAATATGAATATGTGTCGGAATGTTAAAAATCACTTATGAGAGTGTGCCCGTTATACATTAACGTTTCTATTCCCACAGCATATCACTGCATGCAATTTTGAAACGTTTTTTCAGAAACCTGTAACATATTACCCACACGTGCATTAGTTTCATCCTTGCAACATATAAAACGGATAACCACCCAAGGTAGGATTCGCTCGGCTTGTAAGCTCTTCGTTCCAGAAACGGCGTGTGTCACTAATGATCGCATCACGCGGAGGCTTATCTTGTGCCGTTAAAACCTTTACTGGAACATCATACGGAGTCTGATATCCATGTTCACTTGTATGATGTTTCCTGACGAGTTCAGAAATAACGCTTTTCAAAGATTTTGAAGGAAGTAATATCAATGTCAGCTGTTTGGTAATCGGTAGCATTATACACTTACCATATCCTGGACATATACTTTGATGCGCCAATATGTGGGTCAGGTGTATTGATCTTAATTTTCACAACATATATATCCTTTATGTTATAAGAGTTCCAAGTAAATCTTTGCACATGTGCAATGGCATATATGTGAATTATGGACTATGGGATATTTATTGAGGAACGTTTTGTTTATGGTTCCTAGAAAACATTTTTCATCAACAGCCATGTTAATGCGTGCGTTAATGCAGTATATTTTCATCCTTCAGTGTGACCAGATAAAGCGCCAGACATCACCTCATAGACAAAAGGTATCAAAGCAAGACTGGTCCGAATGATAACATAAGTGTCTGAAAGGCTATAAAATCAAAAGCAATCTTGGAGAAATAGGAAACGCACGTTTGTCATCAACGTTGGTGCCAGCCAGTTCTCATATCCAATTTGATACCGACAGTATTAGCATTCGACACGAACACAATTTTGTCCACTGTGTGTTCATTGAAACGACCCCGCGGTATATAAAATGGTGGGATTTCGTTCAGAAAATGCTTCAGCTGAAAATCTTTCATCCCAATAAAGACATCCATAATACTTTGTAGATAGCTTTGTCTCAATCTTTACACCACAGAAGAAAATGTGTTCGATAAAGAAAAAAAAGCAACGTATGAGCCTGAAATACCGTATTCGACGTCATAGGCGCCCAGGGCGCTCTCAAAATTAGAAATTGGGGGCTTTTACTAGAATATTATTTTGGTGAAAAAAAAAAGAGTTGAAAGATAAGTATCGTTATTTATGCTGAAATATTTATGTACGACAGATATATGTTTCCATAATTCAATTACCCATAATTAAGGGTGCATATAACACATGAGTGCTTATTATACGCGAATAAATGTCTGGTGTACATTGATCAATCGGAAGGGGTGCTAATTGGGATTGTTCACTCGTCAATATCTTAGCAAATGTCACCTCGGGCGCT